TCGACGGCATGGTCAATGCAGTGTCCAAAGAGAAATTACTGGTAAGGTACCATTGGAAAGGTACTTTTCTCGCATTGGATACGAAGTCACCGAGTCCAGGTCATCCTCCATATTTGCAGTTGCACGTTCAGCTCTTGCTCTTTGAACATCCTCAAATAAAACATTGAGCTCTTCGTCGGATAAACCTGCGATTTTTTGATCAGTTCCTAAAATGGCCCCTGCCGCCTCGCGTCTCGCCAGTGACCAATCGGAAAGAGCACGCCCAGGCGCTGGAGAATCCGCTCGGCTACTGCCATCAAGATCGAGGTCGGAAATAGCTTTGCTGAATGTCCGATCATGAGCCGGTCGAGGGGTAGAAGAAGGCGAGAATTTGTCCCAATCTTTTATATTTTCCAGTTGATTGGCAGTAACTGAATGTCGTAGGAGGCTCTGTTCTGCACGCTCCGCTCGAGCTTCTGTTGGGTTGTTGAACCTGAAGATATGAAAATCACCAATAATAACCCTGTAACCACTTCTCAATCGAGTTGGCTTTTCCACTCTTTGCCCATTTACCATTACTGCTGCCCCTTCATTTGGCACAAGAGTTACCACATTATCAGCGCCATTCTCGAAAATGCAATGCTCGTGTAATACACGAGTACCATTCAGTCGGATTTCCGCAGCATGGGCTGCAGTGGAATCGACGTTGCCAACAGTAGTCATTCCAGGTTTGAGGTTGTAGACGAGACATTCTGCTAGAAGTGGATCATCCGACAAATTCACAAGATGGGGCATCTTCTTTGGTGTATGTAATCCAACAAAACCCTTTTCGATGCTGATACCCAATTCTTCCAGAGCAGCTTCTCGCTCTTTGTGAATTTCTTCAGTTTTTTGTAATTTTTCCTCCCAAGTCTGGTTGAGATCCGAGTAGAGTTTTTCGCTTTGATTGAGTTGTTCGGTAATTTCCGCTTTTGATACTTTTTTCACAGCACCATCCGATGAAACGATTGTGACCATTTGCTTCTCTAGAGGCGTACCCTCTGCGTAGATTTCATCCGCTGGACCTACGTCTCCACCGCCGCCGCCACCACCTGTCAATTTACCCCGCAGCTGAGCCAATTCTTCTTTCAACTCACGGATCATACGAGCATTCGCATCCTCGTTCACAACAGCGTGATTCTTGATTCTCTTTGCACTATCGGCATATCTCAAGGTACTCAGAGTTTCATCGAAATTTATATCTGCAGGACTAATGGCTGCAATCATAGCTGTCATACTATTTCCTCCCAGAGAATCCTTCAAAAGCCAAGTCAAAACACTGTCTCGGTATGGAACTTGGTTTCCCTTTCCCACTTTCTTCTTCTTTCCTTCAGATAAGTCGGCCAGCGCAGCAATTACCCTACCAAGTGTCGATAGAGATCTATTAATCTCAGCACCTTCTTTCAGTCGCGCTCCAGTTGCACCAGTAGAATTTGCTCGTTCGGAACCTGCCAAATCGACCAAACTAATTTTCGCAACCTTTTCCATTGCCATCTTTGTCTCCACATCCAAACGTTTCTGTGTTAGAGTTAGAGTGAAGACAGCATGACTTCTACTAGAAGTTTCATTCATGTTAGTAGCTGCGACTGTACGGGCTTTGTTTCCCTCGTCCATCAAGTTCTCAATCTCCTGAAAGCTGCTCACAACCAGTTTCGCCAAGTCTTCCACATATGGTCCAGTAGAGGGATGTTCTCGAACTTTTAGATTGCCTTTTGTCGATGGGTTTAGAAGATCTCGTACTCGCTCGTTGTAAATTTCCAGATATGATACCTCGACGGTGCATTTCAAATTCTTGTCCTTTTGCAATTCCCCTATCCTTTCGAACATATCCTGACAAATCTTCGGAATAACACCTGCGTCTTTCCCGTATCCCATCATCGAGTATGATTTTCCCGAACCCGTTTGACCGTATGCGAAGATGCAGTTGTTGTAACCCTGAAAGGCATTATCCAAAAGTGGTTTTCCCAAGTCCGTATGGAGATTGTCTTGCCCTGCGTAACTCGGATCATTCTTGTCGAAAGACCAGTATGAACGATCAAATGCGAAAACCTTCTGCCCCGTATCCGCCTTCCCACCCTTTGCATCTCTTGTCTTCGCCTCATGTCCTTCTGGTGGAGTGATGACCGTTTGCGCATCTTTCATTTGCACTATACATTTTGCTCCGCGCTCGATCTCTATCCCGAGGTAGGTATCAGTACTGACACGAGAATAGGGTTTGACAACATATCCACCGCATACCTCTGCTGTTAAACGGCCTACACCGCACAACGACTTTAATGTTTCCTCCACCACCAGGCGCCATGGTTGCAAATGTTCAACGGGTCCAGGTTGTCCTTTGGTGAAGTCCTCCTTTCACAGCCGTGATTTCCGACAGGTATTGCTTGGTTAGGGGATCGAGTACTGCGGTCGAATAGACAAATGTCCAATAAAATAATGAGGCTCAATTTGAGTCATCGAAAGAGAAAAGGATGTCGTTGAGTTGATCAGTGTATCGTGGTTATCATTGTTGTTGTCGTCTGACGTCGTTAATAGGAACTGCGGAATTATTTTCTTTTTTTAGGTTTCTTAGGAAATTTAGTAGCCGCCAATCTATGTATGTGAATGAAGGCTTGATAATGTATGCTTCTTGTAATAATGATACGGAAAATTTAGGAGTATTAGTTGAAGTAAGACAATAGGTACGGGGAATGAAATGAATGTTGTAAGTTTGAAGCTTATCAAGTTTAGAGATTGTACTGAATTTGGGAAATAATTCAGATGATGTGGCACAAGGTCTCAGGGAAACTGTCAGGAATATTTAATTAATGTTGACAGTCGCGTCGCCGGGGCAAAGCTCGCGACCCCTTGAATATGTTTAATAAATTCGAGGAAACAAGATGAGGAGGTCATCCTGTACGGAGTCAACCAACAAATTAGCAAATCAGTTGAGGTAACTGGGTAGAAGAGTGAATAGAGTGAAATCCATCGTGATATTAGTATTTTTCTCTGAATTTAATTGGTTCCGAAGCTCAAACTGGAAGTTTTTATAATGTTGAACGTTGAACGTTGAACTTCAAAGGTGCTGGTTGGCTGTACCGTATGTACCTCTGAACAGATGAACTGCTAGACGAGACTGTCTTTCAAAGCTCCACACCACAAGGAGCTGTCCATGATTACCAAACCTTTCCATCCATATCACCATACTCCTTCTGTACGTTCTCGATGTACTATTCTGGTATATTGATACGATTACGAATATTTACCAAAAAGAAAGGAAGTACCAGGTAGTTATCCTTTCCATGTATCGATATCGATATCATCAAACCGCATCTCGATCTCATCCTGAGAAACCTTCCACAGTGTGTTCTATTCCTTCGGCAACAACCCCTCTTTCGTTATGTTAATGGGTAAGCCTTAACCCTTGAACCATACCATTGAGCACGCTTACTTTGAAAATAGAGGAGTAGACTTATCTTATTCACTCAAAAGTACCTACTCTTCTACCGATCCCGTTTTGTTAGACAACTTTCACAATTCATGTGATATCCTCGAACCAATTCTCGCTGCTTCTGTTAGAGAAAGAAGTGTGTACTTACTACTCCATAATCATCCCCACCAGACCATGTAAGCACCGTTTTACTTCAAGACCCGAGGAATAGGGCAAATACCGGTAATGAATATATATCCCGCCAAGTAACCCCCTACTTGCAGTCTTACACTCGTATCTCTCGGGCGCAAATTGTGCAAAGTATGGGCATGTACGACCAAGATGTACGGAGCAAGATGTCAACCACTTCTTATCATGGGGAGTGTGACGAACAGTTGTCGCTGTCAAGAATGGGATGTGAGATATGGGATACCAAAGCGTCGGGGAACCTATCAAAAGAAGCCGGTTGTGTTAGAGATTAGATATGTTGTGATCCGTAACCCCAGATGTACCTGCCCGTCATGATCATCAAGGGTCTTTAATATATGTGTACCTAGGGAATCATGGAGAATGCGATGTGAATGGAACATGAGTATGTGCCTAAGGTAATATGGACAATTGATGTTGCTGTATTCGAGACATGTCAGTGAGGTTTATATATTTAGACACCCAGCAGTGCGACGAGGTATGTTACAATGCATCATCTTTGATCCAATTGATGAATGTCATGAAATGCATCTTTCGATGTTGAAAGTTGGTGTAAGCTGTGCTGATGGATTCAAGCTGTTGTTGATCGGTATATTCGGCAGGTATCTTTCAATAGGATGTGTCTTCAATTCATGAATTGATTCTATCGCCACCTTTAAAGTACACACATACATAGATGGATAGATACTGTCTGTACCGTACTTTTCCTCACGGGAAATTTTTAAGGTTACTTTGCGCCCCGGACCAAACGGACCCTTACATGATGGAGATGGAAGCACCGATAACTGTGATGTACATGATACTCTGCTGTGGTATTTCGGTATTGCAATCGGTATCAAAGTTCCAGAGTATACGGTACTGCGGTCGATCGGTACTCAATGGAAGAAGTAGCTACCTAGTACTTTGACCGCTCTTCCTAAAATTGTAAGATAAAATCAATGGAAAGCCCTATTCGATTGTTTCCAAAATATCCTCATGCATATTAATAATAACTAACCCCTCTCAGCCCCTCGATCAATTTCATCTCAAGACTCACTCTGATTCGCTGACCCCAAACTTTTCCAAAATACCTGCCCCACAAAACCTCAAGCGCCACTACGTCGCGCACATTTGAAAAGGTTACAGCCGAGAAAAAAAATATAAGGTTACTAGGGACATTAATGGAAGAAGCTTTGGTAGATTTTGGTATTTGCTGCTTTCCAACCTTACACCAAGATTTCATCTTTTTCTTGAGAAATTCTTTGACTCGATAAAATCTCTTCAACCTCAAAATACTCCAGAGACTTTGCTATTTCAATCTCTCAATCATCACTCTCTCAAGACAACTTCATCCATTCTATCAATCAAATCTGTAAGCTATTGTTTGTGGCATTGTTTATTACATTGTCAATTACCTGCTCGTTCAACCCCACTTCATCCCACTTCGACCTTGAAATCCCTTCAAATATATCTATCAATTCAGTCATCCACCCTCAATATTACCTTGATAGATGGAAAAAGACTAACCGGGTACTCAATCACTCACAGAAATCACAAAACTTTCCAGTCATAATGGATTCTTTCGGAGCTCAACAAGGTGGTGGTGGTGGACGTGGATGCTTCACCTGTGAGTTGCATCAGATCCTTTTATCTTCATTTCACAAAACAAACACTTCCGTCTTCATACAAATTCGACTTTTTAGCTCCCGAATCAGAGCAGGAGTATGATAATAACTACAAGGCTCAATACCTTCGCCGGATCCTGTTCCAATATCATCATCTACTTGGAAACTTGTGCATAATGTTTTGGACTTGAATCAAACGCACAATCCTTTCAACCGAAAACTCTGCAACTAAATTTCTGCATCAACAAACAATGCATGAAAGAATGTCTGCCTCGAGCTACCATTGCATATCATCTTCGGCACAACACACCAAGATGAATAGATTCAATTCTAGAATTCAAGCTGATATAATCTCTAGGCGGAAACGAAGGTCACCAAGCCCGTGAATGCCCAAGCCGTGGACCAGCCAAGTGCTACAACTGCGACAGTAAGATATTACTCTTATGCCAACAATATGACAGCATATTAACATACATTCAGACCCAGGCCATTTGAGCCGTGACTGCCCAGAGGGACCAAAGGAGAAGGTCTGCTACAGAGTAAGTCTACTTTCGCAAACTTCATCGAAGAAAACTTATTAATACTCTTTCAAGTGCGGTACTTCCGGACACATCTCCAAGGACTGCTCTAACCCACCAACTGAGGGTGCTGGCCGTGGTGGTGGATACGGTGGCGGATACGGAGGTGGTGGTGGACAACAATGCTACAAGGTAAGGTTCCCACTCTGAGTATATGATCTGTTCCTAACTTTCTACTTTTACAGTGCTCCAAGATTGGCCACATCGCCCGTAACTGCCCAGAGGCTGGTGGCTATGGTGGAAACCAGGGTTACGGAGGTAACCAAGGTGGTTACGGTGGTGGATTCGGTGGCGGTGCCCGTCAAGGAAGCCAAACCTGCTTCTCATGTGGCGGTTACGGACATCTTTCCCGTGACTGCACCCAAGGTCAAAAGTGCTACAACTGTGGTGAAGTAAGTTGACTCTACATACAACATTCATTCAACTAGTATACTCACAAAACTTTTAGGTTGGTCACTTATCCCGTGACTGCAGCCAAGAGACCTCTGAGGCTCGTCGATGCTACGAATGTAAGCAAGAGGGTCACGAGAAGCTTGATTGCCCTTTGAGAAAGAAGGCTTTCGGCCAAGAATAAATTAAGTGCTTGACGCACGGCACATGAATTACATTGAGGGTGACCATTTTACGCATCTACGGTCAGAAGCTACGACGAAATGATAATACCCCGGAGGGATTTTTCGAAGCCAAGTAATCTGATTCGATGATTACGAAAGCGACAACTTCTTTGTATAATTGTACCGACTTACGCGACACTCAAAAATATGTCGCCTTTTCGTTCTTCTATTTCCTTTTGAAAAAAAAAAATACCTACTCCTCTTTTGGAGTCTTATGTTGCGTTGCTTCATATCTGAGTTTTAGAGTTTGGCCTTTGCTATCACACTTTTCTATCGGCACGGATGGATTCAAAAAAAAAAAGTCATATCACTCATGTTATTTGCGGGTTTTCTAATTTATTTGCGAAGGATGAAGTTTCGAGGATGATTGATGCTAGATTCTCCACACAATTTCCATGATGTAAAAGGAAAGAAAGGAGATTTATGGATTGAAGGAGATGCTGGAGCATATGATTCATGCGGCTACGGACTTGAGTTATGGAGATTGGTATCGATGGATAAAGATATCTGGTGGGCACTGTCATAGGACACTGGAGAAGCATGCATGTGAGCGGTCGGATAAAGTAAAGTGCTTGAGACCAAGAACAAGATTAAGGAATGAATTAAGATATTCGAAGGGAATTTTATTGTGTGAATTTGGTATATTTGGTGAAGTTGTGATTTATGTTGTGATTGAATTTGATTGTAGCAGCTTAAATGGGATCTTCTCTCATTCCCTTTTTCTACCCCACCCCTATCCTCAACTCAACTCATACACAGTATTACTAATTTTCAATACAACAATCCTCTTTTCCCATACACCACTTGCAAACCTCCTCTCATTTCTTTCCTTATTATCATCCATATCCATCCATCTCTCTAGCGATCCTGTCAAAATCCTTTAGTGAGTTTTAACAAAGATCAAATATTATCTCAACATCCTAATGACTTGTATTTATATTTATATCTATATTCATTCCTATAGACAAACGCTCAATGAGAATTCTTTAAATTTGAAATTTTAAATCTATATTTCAGATTTCTTGTTTGAATTGTATAATTAGATATAATTAGATGGACTTTTAATAGTATTGATTATTATAATTTATTCTAATAATGAAGAGAAGATTTTTTTTTTTTTTAAAAAAAAAACTTTTAAGTAAGACGTAATTATAAAAAGCGTCCTATTATATTCTCATCTATTTATTTATTTATTTCTAACTAACCTACTCTTCGAACTGGCGATACACATCGAGAGAAAGCTCTATCTATCTATCTATCTGTTTATCTGTCTGTCTACTGTTGCTTTGTGCTTTATATGTATAATGTAATGTATAGTGTATAATGTGAGTGATGTTTAGCATGATTCATTCTTCCTTCCTTCCTTTCATCGTATTGTATCGTTGTAATTTGTATCATCGTATTATTCTTTCTCAATAGTATAATCACCCACTCACCCACCGATTGACTGACATGATATGACATGAAATGACATGATCATATTCTTGTATCCCAAGGCCATAATATATATGTATAATATCTGCGCTGTTGTATGTAGTTGCAGTTTGATCGTTCCTCCTGAATCGGTTCATTCCAAGAGCTTTCCTTTGAAATGCCGTGGCAAACAAAGTGTAGTTGATGATAAGATTTGATGATGATGCAAGTAAACAAGTAAACAAGTAAATAAACCGTCCCGATCGATCGAAATAGCAAAACTCCATGATAAAATAAAATAAAATAAAATGAGTATCCCCAAATTCATGCACCTGTACCATCGTCATCATCATCATCGCCATCAAGAGCCAACCCACTAGTTCTCGCATGCACTGCAAAGCGACCCCCTAAACAGTAAATCTCCTCTCATCCCTAACCTCCACATCCATAACCCTCATCCCCCTAGCCCTCCCAATTCCATTTCCAATCCCCGTTCCCCCCTCCACCACACCCCCACCCTCCATCTTCTCCTCCCCCCAAGCATCCTCATCCTCATCCCTAATCTTCCTCTCCTCCTTACACTTCCTACACACCTCAAACATATCCCCACTGCTACTTTCCCAATGACACTGACTACCCCTACGATTTTTCCAAAAAGCTGCTCTCGGTCTATTTTCCCAGCTCCATCTGGGGAGTCGGAGGAGTCCTTGCGCGATGTCGTTCATTGTCATTGCTCTTGGGAGATTATTGGGATCGTAGCGTGGAGGAGTATTATTTACTCGTTCGCTGCTGTGTGAGGGGTAGATGTGTTCGGTGAGGTTGAGAGGGTTGGTACGGTGGAGGTTGAGCTGGGGGAATAAAGTGTCGTAGTGTGATTGAGATGGAGGTGGAGGTGGAGCTCGGTTTACGATCATACTATTGTTGAGTTCGGGTGTTGTGGTTGTTGTGGGGTAAGTACCTGGGGATGTATTGTCTTTTGTGCGTGTTTTGATGCGCATAAATGGGATGCTGGTAAGACCGATGGCGGCGAATATGATGGAGCAGATGTAGACACGTCGATATGGGATAGTTGGGTCTTTGATACTGTCTTTGGTGGATGTGGCAGTGCTGAATACGGCAGATGTGATGGCTAGACCGATGGATATAGAGAGTCTGTATGCGGTTTGGATGATTCCGACACCGAGGGAGGCTTGAGTTGGCATCTGCTTATTTGCATAGAGCTACATTTGTTAGGTTGCATTGACGGACGTGAGGTGATTGGATGGGGGGAGTATGGGCAAAGATAGTGGGTCGGTGGACTAGAGAGGGTAAGACTTACATTTGCGACGATGAATTGGAAATCCGCACCAATAACTGTGATTACAAGCGCTGGAAAAAGAAACATCCAATATGATGTATCTTCTTTAATAAACAGTAACAAAATTGCCCCCGCGAGATACATTGCAGAGCCGATACCCATCACTATGGTACCATGTACCTTTTGGACAAGCCATTGACCCAAGAAACTCCAAAATACTCCTGCTACCGCTTGAGGTAACATACGAGCAGCAATTTGTAGGGGCGTATACTTTTGTACATCTTGCATGTATAATGCAATCCAGAATTCATTTGTGATGAAAGACATGTATCCGAATCCCATACAGATAACACATAGAGTAAAGTTGCCATTGCGCCAGACGGAGAGATCGAGAAGAGGATTTTCGTAGAAATATTCCCAGGTGATGAAGCCGAGGATGAAAAATACGCCAAATACAAGTAAGAGAACAACATGTACTGATAACCAGCCGCTTTGAGGCCCTTCTCTGTAGATTCATTAGTGGTAGTCGCGAGGGACATCATTTATGATCGAATACTTACGTCAATCCTGCGGATATTAAAGCCACAGCTAAAACAATGAATAGGGAACCAGCATAATCGAATCTACGAACTGCTTCTGCTCTATTCCCTAATCTTGCAATTACTGGCACCGTCCAAAAAGCAAGTATAACCATGAGGAAGAAGAAGATGGCCATGACGATGAAACTCGCTCTCCATCCATAGTATTTGACGGCGAGACCTGATGAAACACTCCCTAGAATGAAACCAACTGGATTGCCAGTCCCCAAAGCTCCACATGCCATATTTCTTCGACGTCCTTCTGAATAAGCGGCGAAGAGGATACCGAGGGCTGGGGGAGCGATTGCTGCAGTGCATAATCCAAGAAAACCGCAGATGACGATTAGCTCGATGGGTCCTGGACTCCAGGCGGCGATGAGAGAAAAAGCACTCATGAATAGTAATCCAATAAGTAGTTGTATCTTTCGACCGAGCTCATCGGCTACTTTACCGAAAAACAACATAAATGAACCGCTACCAAGTCTACTTTATTGTTAGTACCAAGCATTTAAACAACCTTTGTGAACTTGGAGAATTATAGATTTAGGTGGAAATTTACCCTACTGCAGCTGCTATCCAAGTCACCTGTGAGGCGGTCGCATTAATATCTTTCCCAATCGTGTTAGTCATGATAAGGATAACACCTTGGATGACGGTTGTGGACGATGACGCCAGCATGACTGTAAATACGAAAGCCCATTCCTGGGCCCAGTTTGAAAAATGTGAAGGTCGAGCATTTGCGTCGTGGTCGGTCATAACTTGTAGCCCTTTTGCTTCGAGATCGCATTCTTTGGCAGTCGGGGAGTAGGCGGAGGAGTTTGTGTTGAGGTGATAGGCGTTGGCATCGATTAGCCTCGGATGTACATAGCGGATTCGTTCCTGAGGAAGATGGGCCGTGGGAGGGAAATTTTCAACAAGAGCAGGAAGCTCCGTGAGGTTCTTTTTGATATCGAGAGCTCTTGCCATTGCTGTCGGCATTCAGTGACGGTTGTACTTGCTTCTTCGACAATGACGAATCCTATACTGATGGGATGGAAAAGGTTATATCAGAAAGTCAGAGAGTTTTTCTTGTCCTTTGCTGCTTCCAGTACCGTGAGGTAGGTGTCTTACACAACGTCCTTTGTGATGGTCTAGACAAATTTGTAAAGATTGACCTTAAGTTGACGAGAAAACTCTGCGACAATTTGCTGGAGATGCTATTGAATATCTTGATCCACTTCCAAACCGTACAAATAGTCTAGATTTGCGTCTCAATATCAGAAGACCGAAATCGGGAAATAATTTTTTTCGACGAGGTCAGATGAGATGAGGAATTTTCGGTCAAGATTTGGAGTGTAAAAGTAGGATGCCGACAAAGACAAAGATTTTGCTATTGCGTCGCCAATGATCTCTAGGTCGGGCTTTGATATTTTCCGTTTACGTTCTCAAGGAATATTGATAATGATAAGAAATATAAGATTTCAAGCCGGCCAGCGGTAAGTTCTTGTTGAATCTGGTTTTATTGTTAGGGGATAGTGACTGAGGTGATTTCCTCGCCGAGATGTTCAAGCAAGAGGTTGTTGGCGACGATTCAAATTCGCGCTCCACAAATCCCTTCCTCTATCCAACTTCCTTGTTTAAATAATGCAGCTGATTCAAAAGAAGCCCCGTTCACACAATCAACAAGGAGGATTCACTTCACCCTCCGAGTTCGCTGCATGTTTCCGACAAAATTTCCAACTGTAAAGATGATGTTTGAAATAGGCTTGAGTTTCTCGAGACTGGTAGTTTTTGTTGAAGAGAGAGCGACCAAGTCAACAGGCAAGTGCACTCCCAAATTCGCTGATGCAGATTCGTGGCTGGTTATTTTATTGAAGGAAGGATCTTTCTCAAAGTGAAAAAAAACTTAGATTTTTTAACAAGAGACTTTTCCTGAGAAAATTTTAATTCTATGGTCGAATCCTGCGAGTGAATGACGAAATCCCCAACAGCAAACTAAATTTGAGATACTAAATGGCTTTTGGGTTTTTAAATAGTAGAGATAGATGAATCAAATAAAACTTTTATTTGAACGGAACGGGACATGACTCCCAGATATTGACATGGTGATTCACCAAAGGTTTGCATCATTACAGCGAAAATATTCGACATTTGGTGAAGGTGATGGAACAATAGTCTTGCTATGAGTGCATGGATGGACGATACTTCTTATATCGCATCACCAAGTGATTGATGCTTTGAATTGGTCTATTTCTGGGAGCATATTCTAAGATTGCCACTTGAGGGTAGGATAGATCATGTAGCTATCACTTAAAGATACCTCGAGAGGATCATGCCATCACCGCACCATAGGGATCTTGCTGAATGTTTAGCTTTGGCGGTAACAATGACTAAATGGCTCTATTCTTCCGGACAAAGTGAAAAGCACCAAATAATCAATGTTTCGTCCTTCAGCTCGAGGGAATTATTATTGGTACACCTCACCATCTGTGGCTGGAATCAAGTGCTAAGAAACACTCGTTCTAGCTTTGAAATCATCCCTTTGATTCCTTATCCTTTAAGGGGCATAATTTTTGGCAAAAGGAGGCTATATCATCTCCCAGGAGAAAGTCAAAAAACATGTTGATATGTAGTTATGCAGGTAAGATCTTATGTTTATTGAACTTAGTATGTGTGAAATTGTCAACGTTCAACTTTCGGGAATTCTTCGGGTCGGAGCTTGAAGGAAGTTTTTCCCGGCACTGGTGACATCCCAGTTATTCAAGGTTCTCTACAAAGATCACCACTGCTTCAAAAATCAAATGCTATCCCCAATTTCATGTATCAATATAAATTGTCATCACACATAAAGCAACCATGTATACCAGTGTGCTATGCTGCGAATCCAGCCTTCTTAGTCGTCTGAATGTTTATCACCTCCACACCTGCAATGATGGTTATAATCAAACACCCATGAGGAATGATATTGGAAGTAATCTATCTTACTTCGATTGGTGTTATTAGTACTTTCCCGCAAGGTTGGAAAAGTCCAAAAAGACCTCGGGAAGTACTATCATCTTCGCAAGGTTATAAAAGCATGTTGGTGTTGTCTCTCTCTAATCTCCCATTTTTGGAAATGTTAATTATATCTGTCTCTTCTCAACATGGTGGCTTGGTATGGGTTGATGAGAGAAGGAGACCTTGGCTTGAGAATATTAGTTGAAGATAACAGGAATCCACGTAAAAAAGTTACTGCTATATCTTCATCTAGCTTATAAAACGAAGAAGTTAGGAAAGCGAGTGCTTTTTATGTGGCTTCCCAGCCCTTTGGTACTTGTAAGTTGGGTATCATTGCGGTACATTTGATGTATATTATGATTACTTTATAATAGACTGCAAAACTCTACATGTATATAGATATACTGCCTAAGTTCTCATGCGTTTTGACCTACGTCTTCCTGCCTCATAATAACAAGTACCAGTAGGTATTGTCAAATCTCAAGGGGTATTTCAAACCCTAATGTTTATCCTATTACCCTAAATCTGGCAAGGCTTTCCACACCTGTCCCTTTTCATTCCTGTCTTCCGTCCACCTGACAAGATGTTATAAGAAGTTGGGGAGCGATTGATCTTCTTGCCCGTTCAGCCCATTTGTTTCTCCAACGGAATATATGGTAGAATGGACTTCCAAGTATGCTATCATGCCGAGGTCTGGATCATCATATGATCTTCGAGCCCCCATCGGTTGTTGTTGTACTGTATTGAGTTGACTCTCAAAATATGGCAGATTATCTGCTGTGCAGACCTCCCGTGTAGTATCTGATATGTCTATATTGGTTGAGGCTCGTGCGTTGCTCCATACTATTTCAGATATTCAGAAATATTGATTCATCCGAACAGCTCCACTTTTAATCATGCCGTCATTTGAGCATGAGGAAACCACTATAACCTCTTATCACTCGATTTAGTCTTCATAGGCTCGAAACAGCTTCACAAAGGTGAATTAGGTTCAATCACTTTCGAATTCCTGATGTACTGGCTCTCCCTCATACAAAACCCGACATGCGAAGGCGAAAGCGTTGATGGCGAATCCAATCTCGGCGAGAGAGATCTTGGCGTAAAGACCAATGGTGGAAGACGTTGACATGGTCCTAGAGAAGTATGCGTAGAAATCGCGGTTTCATTATCTAACCCCTCAGATCTTGAGCTATTCCCCGAATTATCTTCATAGAAAGTCATTGACGTATCTCTCCTCGCTTTATTATCGCCCCCGTCATCCAAATGGATATCGATCGTCTGCGAACTTTCTCCTGTCCAGGCTCGAGACCTTTTCTCGGATTGTATTTGGGCATTATTTCCCAATTCCAAATCATCTGACGTTTCTATTCTTGCTGCTAGATTTGTGGGGATATTCAACTCTGGTGGTTTGGGTATTGCTACGTCTCGAATATGATTGGGGAAGAGTTTACGAAGGATTGGTCGAAGTGTAGCGAGACATGCGGCAAAGATAGCGATTCCGGGTTCGACGGTTGACCAAACAGCAAGTGAGATAGTGTTGAAGAGAAAATCTTCCTTTTCTATGATGTTTGGCACAGTTTTGATTCGGATTAAGGTTGATGTACTGGCACTGCGTGGAAATGAGGTATTAGTTTGCTGACCATAGAACAATGATTGAGAAGGAAGGATACATAATCAGGAACTGAAGAACGAAAGGTACTTACATAGTACCACAGAGCACAATCATACCAACGATGACCCTCAGTCCCACGGGTATCTGCACACCCCAAATCATAACAATGGGTAACAACGCCAAGGCCCAGTCACTACCCGCACTGATAATACAATGCAAATACGTCCCACCCAGTATAACTGCATCCGGCAAACAACTCCCCGTTTCCACAGAAGATTTCGTAGCAAATCGCTCCCAGACAAATTTAACAGGCCAGCATTGCACGACTGCGCAGCAGAGATACGTAAGGCTGAAGATGATTACTATCCACATGATGCATTTTACCGAGAGCCGCTGCCACGGGGAGATGAGGATGCGTAGGTAGAACAGGGCAATAGAAGTCTTTATTGCGGTCATTGAGACGATGTACAACAATTCGCCGAGATACCAAAACTGTTTATAGGATTAGTAAGTTTCCGAGATACGAGGTAGTTTCATCGATGAGGAAAAGAGCTCACCCGGATTCCATTAATGAAATCGACCTCTTTCAGGTCTTGCTGATGTCTTCCAGTCCCATAATGTAGACCTGTCAATACAGTGCCTATGTAACTTGTATAAACAGCCTATTATTATTAACTCTTCATTAGCCACCATTATCACCTTGAAATGAAAGACGAGATGTTTACCCACCAAGCTCACAAGCATCAGCCAATCATCCCACCCCATAATCTTCTGCATGAAATACCTTGTATAGGTCCGCAGCGCAACACCAATAAATGCCAAAGGGTAGCATACATAAACAGCAACGTATAGCTGCCATGCACGACTTTCCCCCATCTTGAATTAAACTCTTATTATTCGTTATTTCGCTTGCGTTCACAATATCGGATTGCAAAAATTCTTTGCGCCCCACAAACACGTAAGGAATTATGCCAGGTACAGATATATATGGACGTCTCTTCCTGAAGAGAGTCGCCATCCTGAAATCCCAATTGTGCATCAAGAACGAGAGGTTCGTGCGAATGTATTTGATCAGCACTAAAGCATGAACTGATGCGTAGATCGTATAGTCCGAATTCTAACAAACTATATTATTGCGCTTGTGTAGTTTACCAATTGCGTGGGATGAACATCATAGAGCTTCGAAGTTTTGTACCTTCTATCCCGCGAATGACCAAGCCGCGCACCGAGCATTGCTTCAAAGCGTTCGAGGAGCTACGAAGCCACGTTTTTTAAATCTGGGGTCTTTCATAGAGTGGTTTGCCGATCATGAGAGGGAATATTGATCCGAAGCTTTTTTAGGGTGTATGCCAAGGCTTTATGAGGAAAGCGCCTTTAAGTGGGTAAATTCCCTGTTATGGTGACAGCCGGAACATCTTGGCGGGCAAACAGATTTGAGGGCTTTTGGCTATTGGGTTTTCTTTTGGTCTCGGTTGTGGAAAGTTCCGAAGGCGTCGTAATAATTTCATATTCGAGAATTATTTGTATGCTTGCAATTGGAGGCGAATTGCAGATTGCATCAAAGTGTTTTGGAGGATACATTGAAGTACGAAAGTATGATGTGTTGAGTTGTATTGGAAGAGGAGAATAGAAACATTGTTCAAATAATAAAGTCAAATACTTCGACTTTTCTAAGTCATGAATTATGAATAAAGGTGGAAGGTGACCGGAGATGTTTAATAAAGGGGTATGTCGCTTCTGAGGACAAACATCTGTGATTGGGACTTGGGATCCACTTTTAGGATAACTACACCAAATTTGAGGTTAATCAGCATACGGCACATCTTCTAATACATTGGGAGGCATAGTTACTCATCAAAGGCAAAGCTCATTTCATATTAGCGTATGTGGATGCAACAAAAGAATCGGTAATAATGATGGGAGATGTGTAAAAGAGGGATGTCAAAAAGAATCAAAGCTCCCGCCATTGTGAGATAAAACTTTGCTTGGAAGTATTTTCAGGGAAGCGCTGGAACTTTTAAAAAGTGAGTAGGCAGCATGTTGCAAATTGTGAAGTTTGTGGGAATAAGCTAACACGGGAATGATGGGTGGTAACCATCCTCTAGCGAATAGATATCACGAACACTGCTTCTATTTCTTATGTCGCGTGTGAAAAAGCGGTGGAAGGAGAGCCACTAGAGTGAAGTAGAGAGTAAATGGCCCAAAAATCAATAAATAAGAAGGCTATTGCCCTCACTGAAGTTGTGTTACACGTCATAAAGCGGTGGGATGAATTATGGTATCACGGCGAAGGAGTTGTGCCCTCTGTTACAGGATGATGGCCCACTGGCAGGATGTAGCTTTGCATTTTGTTCTCAAATGTTGCAGTCATAAAGTTGTAGGATGTTCCTCGGCTGATCTGTTCGGCAGAAAGAGGGTTTATAGTAATGAGATGTGTGGCAGAAGGCCTAGGAGAACACTTATCAATTAATGATGAAAGCTCCTGCACCTAAGGACCTTATTCCATATAAAAATAGCGCTTTATGCCGGTTATTCCTTCTGGCCGTCAAAGCTTTAATGAAGCGCTTAACTTTATTTCTGTGCTAGTCTCTTGCCTTATTTACGTTGTTGATTGTGGGGGATAGCTCTTCTCTTGTATCCTTCGACGATTCTATTAATTCTCATCATTAAAGTTTGAAGACAAATAGAAAGTATGCTATGATATCCTGCAGTTAGTTTAAAGCCGGTGATTAGATCGAGAGAAAATTGAATTTATTTGTAAACGTATCCTAAGTAATCTTTGAAATTGCTTCAGAAAATTGCGAATAGCCTCAACCTTAACAAAGAAGTGGTCATATGCGCACATTAGTATCATCAATCCGTCTCGTTTTTGCATTGTTAATAACTTGAAAAACTTCATTTGGCTGCCTGTCATATCTTAAAACCTTACGTTTCGAAACTAATCGTGATATTCATACCTCAAGTTGAGGATGAGATGTGATGTTCCCTAACTTACGTAGTCGTAAAGACGCAATTAAAAGGCTGATTCTAACTCAAATATGATTATACCAAACACAATAATGTATTATCCCGACTTGGCTACCTCATAATCAGGTTATTCTGCCGAAAATAGAGAATATTTTCTGGTAGATAGGCTGCTCTTAATTTGATTGAATTCACAAGGCTCTTCTCAACGTCCAAGCTCATCTCGGCGTTCTCCCTAAACTTGAACTCCGTTCCCTCTTCATGATTTCAATGATTAATTCATACATTGTAAGACCTAGCGATCAGAATCATTTTAATATAAAGTCATACCTCAATATCAAGAGAAGTATCTCTTAAAGTAGTTGTCAGATGGCAATACCTCTCAAGTATCCAAAAATCTATTATCCGACTTGGAATTGGCTGGAAGAAAGAGCTAAAAGAAACAATGCCATAGAAATGGCATATCATATGGTGTGAAATGGTCATCCCATGGATTATTCACCAAGGTATTTTCATGAGGTTTTTTGTTACTACCACATGGAATTTAAATTCATCGCAAGTCTTCCATCTTAAAAAGTCTAAATACATTATTTACGGAGGGCATCATCTTTAATCTTCGTTCATTGCTGGATGACTGCAACTCACGTGACGTGTATTTCACACACATTATATTCTCAAGGTCTTAGGTTGCATATCTATACTTCACGTGTATTCACTTGACTTTTAGATCTGTAAGGCTCCTCTTCTGCTATCGATCAAGGTGCTCTGATTTTTACTAAATGATAAATGTTGCACATCTGAGTTGAATACCACATGTGAAGGAACTATCTGATGTAATAGCCAAGTGTTCCACAGCTCAACATAAAAAACGGCGGAGTATCTCCCCGTAAGTTGAAAGTAACATTTTTCCATATACACATCTCATTTATCTCCAAGCCCATTGCTATTACTTTCATCTTGTTAAACCTTGTGGAGCTCAAGCTCCGCATCAAATACAAATACATGAGCCAGTCCTTGATCTTTCTTTTACTTTCGATTGATGACGTAGTACTGGAAAAATATCGAATGAGCCTGCAGAAGCCATTTAGACACTGCTTCTAACTTATCTCTGCTTTAGTTTATCTAGCTCCTAATCAACGTGTGATATAATCGTTGCTGGTCTTTTGTATGTTGTATAACTGAACTTCTACTCTCTGCGATTAAGCATCTGTCGAAGGATAATACAATGAATCAATACATGACTAATCAACTCATGTCAAGCTACTGTCTCATTTCTTACTTGAATTTAACATTGTACCACCTTCCTTTTACCCTGTGGTTACGTATCTGATATCCCTGTGTTTAAAGCAATCTATCTACAAAGCCCATAATTTTCCGTTGCATATATATAAATTAAGATTAGATCGAAATACCAGCTCTAAGGCTTCATTTTTATTATTTAATTCCGCCGTTACGTCAAATGCTATTTGCATCCACTTTTTGCTGCCCATGGTCTCGGATTATGGATTTTGTACTAGAATAGCTATCCCTACAAAAGACGAGATACATCTTGGCTCCCTATTTGTACATCGTAGATTCTGCCTTGTATTGAGCAGGCTTAATTTCTCTTCCAAGACTGTTCAATCAATGCCATTGTTTACTCTTGAATTGAATGCAGCCGCTAGTTCTTTCGGTTTGTTATCAAAAATCCATTTTAATATACCACTATTGGTTGGTATTTGATGATAGAAGCCCTGAACCTCCACCCAGTCAAAATATGGATGTTAACTTGCCTAACTAAGGCTTTGGTGGATCCTGAATGGACGAGTAATGAAAAATAATTCCGCAATTTTGCACATCTCACTTTCTAGCGCTGCGCATTTTTGCTCCAGCTGTCCATGATAGGTGATACAGATCACGCCATATTTCTTGAACTTCTCATCCAAATATTCTGTGTTGGAAACTCCTAGCTAATGCGTGCATTCACCGACTTTAATATTTTTCCTGTTTAGGTTGCATATCTAAAGACCTCGTGGCTTGAGCATGAGCCAATCAATCTGGACTGCTCTACTTTGTTGCCGATCTAAACTCTTAGGCTTCACCATTTTGGGGTTGCTGATTGGAAAAGTTTGCCTTTAGGGTCATATATTCACTATTGTTTCCAGGATCCAAAGGTCTAACTTTCCGCCTCTTCCGAGTTGTAGACTTTCATCTTTCAAATCCATTTCATTGCCACCATTGTGGTAACTGCTCTTACTAAAGGGGCAAAATCCTCATTACAAATAAACCATCTGAAATTTTCTTTGTACTACTACTATGGTAAATCTTATCTGGAAAGCATTTAAGGATTCACTGGTTGGCTGGTTCAACCAAATAGAGTTCCAATCAGTAACAATCAAAGAATTCCTTACTTTTGTTATAAAAAATCATGTAAACAATAAAGATCTATCATGAACGTTACTAGTTCACCTCATGAGTTTAGCTACATTATTAAGGATATCCTTCATCAGGGGCTCGAAGCGACATTACGCGACCAAGCTTTCTTCCCCACTGGTCCTACTAGCACCTCCACTTTTGAGAAAACTTCATTGCAACAATGAACAACAATGCTATAATGTCATATTTGCAAATTGGAGTTGTATTGATGGGAAATTTTGAATACGATTCCAAAAGAGGTAGTTTATAACACGTTAATTTTGACGCTTTCCGCCAATTTTGGGCAGAGGGGGGAAACACAGAAAATTATGCAGTTTTACCCGAGCGGATTCAACTAACTTTCCATAATAGTTTGACTATCTTACAGATTTTCTTGTTTTAATTTTTGAAAACTATTGACTGCAAGTGTATTATGTTATCCAGCCTATCACAGGGTCCTCAAACGTGATTGTGGTTAGCTAACATCTGTCGGCTGTAAGTTCTTTGCCAACACTCTCCTACCGTATCTTCCTAATCGATACTGGCTTTCTGTCCCCACTCAGAACCAGCACGAGACAAAATAGGTTTACACGCGTTGAAAATCCGAATCCGCGAAGTCATTTCAAAATTCAGTGAAGCAATATCCATACTTTAGATTTTAATCTAGTAGTAATTCAATGACCTATTTTGCGAGCGGCAAATGGATCTTTGGAAATACTAATCACCTACCATTAATTCCGAATCTGTGCGGGGTCTACATCCGTTGGAACATCAACAGACGACGACCCCGTTGATGTATACCGAAATTCTCCCTGAGGCAGAGCTACAGATACACATCATAGGCTCTAATTATTTATGGAATTCCTTTCGAGTTTAGTGTAGATTACTGTGATGGAAAGCTCACACTTACTTAGTACACAAAAGCACGCTGTGCCTCCTCCGCAGATTTTCTTTTTGCGGCATTTGTGCATGGTTAGAAGACTGAACTGTTTTGGACAAATGATTTTGCATATAAAGCATCGTAGTGAAAGATCTTGCTTGACCTTTTCAGATTAGTTGTAAGGTTTCATCTAATCTGCATGAAAAGGTCTGGAACCTGTGACATTTTTGCGTGGCCGAACGGCCGGCGTCAGAAAAAGTGATAGTCTCAGGTAAGAGTGCTGCACATCTTAAGAAAATTCTTAACCAGATGGGTGAAATGGAAAGGAAATCTTCAAAGCAATTTCCAAGTACAGAATTGCCGCTTAGATTCTGGTCTGTTCAGGCCTTGCATGGACTGAGACAAACAACAAACCATCGCAAAACGAGTTTATTAGAAAGACGAAATCAACATCTTCATCTATGGACCAGATGTCGGGGCTTTTGTGTCAAATTTATTTTAGGGCTGCATAAAATCCTTCTTGTTGGTGTTTGAAGTTTGGTGGTGTGCGGCGAGACTTGGCGCAGCAACTTTTCGGACAAACACCAGATTTTCGCGAGGAAGCACGACCACAATTCCTTCAGGGGCGTGTATTGCTGGTTTGAGAGGCGTAGAGATTTAGTAAATTCAGATGTAACTACCGACACTCAGAAGGAAGTAAGACTAAAAAAACATTAATTGTTGCAGATATCTCAAAGTAATGGGGCCAGTTATTAGATTTTCAACCCACCAAAAACGGTGCAAGACAGCCAAAATCTGTAGGATTGCGGCTGAGCCCTCCGTATAAACTTATCAATGTCATGCTAATCAGAGTAACCTTGAAGGAACGGCTACTACAAAATATCGCATACCATGAAGAAGGTATATCACCTGAACCTTATTTCTCTTTCCACCAGTCGCATCATGTAGTCAGCTGCAGTTACGAAAGTCTCCCAAAAAACACATGCATCAAAGGATCAGCACACCCTTCAAGCATAGTAGCCTTTTCAAGGCGCCCCGTGTTGTTGTTCTTCCATGCTAATATTGTCAGACAACAATAACGGAAAAGTTCGTCACGGCACTTGAAAATGCTTCATTTGTATGCAGCTACTTCCGCGCGTTACATGCGCTTAATTTTTCTTTTTAATTTTCTTCAATCAACGCTCTGAAGAGATTTCCTTTCAAAAGATACATTTATGATATCAGCTTTTTAAACAATGCCTGAGAAACTGAGGGTAATTGAACCACCAATTCCTATACCACCAGAAGCTGGTCTTGAGGTGTCGCGTCACAGGCCTATCAGCCACCAGGATGGGTTGCAGGTGGACTGGGAGGCGCAGAAGAAATATGAGAATGCACTAATGCAGCCTGAGATTGTGGCGGAGCTGGAGGGAAATGGACAATTTTCAAGATACTACCGCGAAATACTAGGAGTGAGGGTCATATGGTTCTGGGTAATTGTAATGATGGTTGCTGCACTTCTTGCTGCTGGAATTGGAGGTGGTATTGCAGGAGGAATGAAGAGCAGGAACAAAAACAATGATCTGAAGTAAGCAGACTTTAAATTCTGGAGAAACTATAATTAACGTGTAGATACCAGGCAAAATCAATCGCAGTCAACTCTAGCGGTCACAAACGTAACTTCGCCGTGTCAAACCGATCCATACTCGAATAATACAATAGTTCAAGCTACTCCGGGCATGGATATGAAACCCACAAACTTCCGACTATTTTGCAATCGAACTTTCAATGTAGATTCCACTAGAATGCTTCAGCGTTTCGCGGTGCCTAATACCGTGGCAGATTTGGGTGGTTGTATGGAGGCTTGTCTAGACTACAACGCAGGAAATGGGACTGAAAGCAGTAATCAAGGCTCGTATGATATATGTTACGCTGTCACGATCAGTAAGAATGAGACGAGCGCTCAGGAATGGTGCAGGTTATTTGCAGCGAGTGGATGGGGGACTGATGAAGTAGGAACAGATTGTGCTGTCAATCTGTCGCCGCTGAGTCTAGTAAGCAGTAGTACTCTCACTGCTGAAATTAGCGGTACGCGTTCTTCTACTACTTCCACACTTTCTTCTACTGGACCACTTATCGAGGCTGAAGAGATATGCACGACAAATGGGCTGGCGATGACTGTAATTATAGCAACTAGCTTGCTCCATATTGTCCCTGTCTCATCCGTTATGATCGGAAGCCAAATCTTTACAGCGGCCCCACCAGTATCAACTCCCAAATAATCAGTACACACTGGGACAACAATTTCATTATCTTTCGTGGGTGTACATAATAGGGGAATGTAAAATGAAGTTAATGCATACCTTAAACTTCAAGGTAAATTGTATTTCAACTGGTAATGCAGCATTGGTGCCAATTTCTATGACTCAAAGCATCACATAATAATCAAGGCTATTAAATAAACCAAGAAAGCACGGAACCACGAACTACGTGAAGCGATGCAATACATATTGAAAGCCAGAGAAAGCAAACTAACTTTAGCTCAATCTATTATATGCGCAGTATATAAGGCTCGGAGGAGGTAGATATTGATGTTGGAACTTCAAAAGGATCCGATCTCGCTTCAAGACCTGGGCTCCCACTGATTGCATTTGCACCGAGAGGCATTAATTTTTAATCACAGTGCAAAGTATTCCGCTTCATTCTTTCAATATATTAGAGCCATGGGAACACCGAGGGGCCCCGCAGCCTTCGAGAGGCTGAGCCCAGGTTTGTAGCCTTGAAGCCCAGCTAACCTAATGACGCATTGCAGCTACCGCGGCCAACACACGGTCAAGTGGGGCATGGGTTATTAGGGACGATATATAAGGCCGATTCCTTCAGTTAAAGCTAGCAAACCAGAGAAATTAGGATTCCGGCAACAAGGACCCGTAAAGTGTTTCTTCGGCGAGCAATACAGCCAGCTTGTCCATACCATCCCTAGGAGGTAACTAACTCATCATACCTCAGAAGCTAAATTCGAGCAGTATAATGGTTTTATTGAAAGACAACTCAGATTTCAAGCTAATTAGGAGCAGAGCAAGTCTCTGCTTAGGATTTTATTAAGACCTTACATCGCATTGGTGAACATGGTCGAACGACGATAATACTTGAGGTAAGGTGTAGAATGCTATTTGAAGGCGTATTATCTTCACGTAAGCTTTTTTTTTAATAAATGAAGAGGAAGAAAACTTGTTCGAATTGTGCCTGAGTGATTTTATAATAGATGTCTGTTTGCTGCGAGTGAATTTCGGTAATGTCGGGAGTTGTCGGAAGTGAAGATGATTTCTGCCGAACCCGAGTTCCGGCAGCCGCGTCAAAAGTAAATTGACGTCAAAGTGAATCCAGACGCGACGCGCCACTTCAACAGTTCACCTCACAGAACAGCCGTGATGAACGCAGAATTCATCACTAAGGGCAGAAATGGAGCAATGGGAAATTGGTAGACGCGAATTGTTTGAGCAATTGGAAAAGGTCTGCAACAACATCGAGCAAAATCTCAGCAATGGTAATCCCATCCCTCCGAACGAATTAAGCTTGTTTACTGATCGTGCTGGACTGGCAGAACTTGTCGATGGTGACAATACGATAATTCGCAAGGATGAATTAAAGAGTTTAAGATCAAAAGTGAAATCCTTTGAAACCGGCAATAAAAAACAGGCTGCTCAGGCCGGCTCAGACGATGATGCGCTGCTGGAGAAGGGCCTTAAAATAAAGCTTCTAGAAGAGGACATTTCAAGACTCAAAGAGGAGCTCCGATCAAATCGAGATGCAGCTACTAGAGCTGACAAACTTGGCGAAGAGAATAGGCTTCTCACGGAGGAGCTGAAGAAGTATCGGAATGTAACTTCACGGGTAGAAGATCTTGAGGAGCAAAACAAAAAGCTGTCGATGGAACTAAGCAATGCGGCCATACGAGCAAGAGATGCCGAGCTTTCTAGTACCGACAATAAAAGGCCGAGTTCCTTTGACAACGGTCAACTATCTTCAGAGGGCCGGGAATTGAATTATAAGAAACTCTTGAATGATCACAAACGTGTCAAGGAGCAATGGTCGATACAGAAAGAAAGAGCAGACAAACTTGCCGAAATACTGCGGGAAAAGAAGGCGAAATCACGTCAATCGGGAGTGTGGAATAACGAGCAAAATACACCATTTACAAACAAAGCTGATCAATATATTGCACAAGCACAAGAAATTGGGAAATTAAGGTCAGGTTCACGAGAATTAGGAAGCAATATTACCATGGCTAGAAATATTTTGCGGAGTGACCCCGGAGGTATCGTTCTGGCTGCTCCACCATCTGAAGTCCTTTTAATGAGTCCTACAAAAGATGCCCAAGCAAATAAGACTCGACAATATGATCCGGATGATTTTGAGCCTGAGAAAGGTGACTATGAGGAAGCGAATCATGAATCTCCCCAGCTTCCAAGACATGTGTACAAATCTCAGCGTGTAATCAGTGTCGAAGACGACGCTCGGTTGTTACCTATAGAACCTCAGCATTCAAGTTCTACGCAAGATCCCGAGTCCTCCCCATCTGGTGACAGGGAGAGTGATATCGCAAGGGAGCCAAACATGGAGATACCCAAGATGCAATCATCCAGCGACACCCCAGAATTCATATATACCCGCTCGGTTGGGAAGAGGAAAAGGAACGAACATGAATCACAAAACACGCCTGTGCCTAAGGTCAAGGTAGAGCATATTGACTCAAGTAGTCCTATCATTTCTAGGACACTTCATGCAAGTGAAAGCCTCGATTTGGACGACATTGGCAACAAGGTTGTTACACCAAGAAAGCGCCGTCGAGTATTTGTGCCATTTACAGAGGACGTGGAGAACGAGGTTGAGAATGAAATGAGCGATGAGATGTTATTTGGTGACAGTATGGATGAGAGAAACCAAGCTCTTACACCTGTCACAATCGAGCAGCCAAGGAGGCCAATGATTACGCCAGTGAGTAAGAGAGGCAAAAGCTCAGTCAGCAAGCCATTGCGACCACTCAGTACCAATCGTATCCTTCCAAACACAGCGGATACCAAGCTTCCTGCCAAACGTCAACGAAAGTCAAATGCTGTGGTTCGAGGAGTGGAGGAAATACTTGAGGATGGGGAGTCAATTAGCCCCGCAAAATCTCCTGCTTCTGTGAAAAAGGAACGTATTCATTCCACCGATCTCCTCGATAATCTGCTTTCAAGCTCACCACCAACAAAGAGAACGGCCTATCCAACACCGCAATCAGCAGTTCCAGAAGTACGATCGGTAATACTCTCACCATCAAAGCTGTCAACAGAGATAACTATGTCGCGGTTTGATGAAAGAGAATTTTCAGAAAGTACACCATGCTTCCCAAAGCATCGTCATGACCATCTGCAAGATGCTACTCCGGTACGGGGATCAAGAGCGGCTGTAAGCGATGAGGGACGCGAAGCCAGCAAAACTGTCAATCGTCCTCGAAGTGGTACCAGGAAAGAGACTCCGAAGCTGGAAAGAAGAGAATCTGTGAGCGACGAAGGGGATGAAACCGTCAAGAGACCTACAAGCCGTCCTCAAGCTGGCATTATGAGGGAAATTTCCCAACCACCAATAAGAGCTTCCAGGCGAGGCTTAACTACATCTGTCGAGCTGTCTCCAAAACGAGCAACAAAAGTATCTCGGGAATCAATTAGGTCACCTACCAAATCTACTCCAAAGGTGAGGTTGGGAGTTTCCATGCCACCGACTACAACGAGCAGAAGACCAAGAAGAGGAAAGAAGCAGGACCTTGATTCGGATGACCCCGAACAAGAGCCATATAGATCACGACCCGTAACCATGTTGAGACTAGATCATTTCAAAATTAATCCCAACTTCAATCAAGGTTATGAGTATGCATACTCAGAGGTAGTTCGTGGTAAGGATCGCCAATGTCTTCCGGGCTGTGTTAGAGAAGAATGTTGTGGAAAACAATTTGGCGCCTTAGCGCAAGCTCTCTACCAGGCGAGAGAAGATCCTACAACTTCACAAAAGAAAGAGGAAGACAATCTTCTAGAAGGGTACCTAGGCGACAACAAACACAAGATTTGGACCATGCAAAAACAAGAAAGGAAGGAAGTTTTAGCACAAGCTAGAAAGTGGAAGTTATCGAATACAATGGGGAAGCACCGATCTGTTGTTCCACGGAGAAGCACGCCCCCTGGATTCTGGGAGGCTGATTTTCCTAACACACAAGAAGACGAAGCATTAAAGACAAGACAAAAAGAAGTAGAACGAGAAAAGGTAGCTGAAAGATATGCTGAAGCTATGAGGCCAGGCGGTGCGTGGTTGTTTAAAGATGAGTAATGATTCTAGAAGCAATTTTGTCATGGGTACGAGGAGCACATATGGGCGGGTATGGGTGTTTGCTAGGAGTATAGATATACAAGATACCATTATAGCGTTATTTGATTGTCATGGCTACTGTTGTTAGCAAGCCGGTTGGGAGTAGCATTAGCAGCATCGTACTGTATGGGTCTAGCGTCAATAGTAATAGAGCCATGAAGAAAGTAAAGATAGTTTCATTTGTGTTGTCTGCTTTGCATAGATGCATTGTGATGACTTAAGCATTCACGATGCCCCTCATGCATATGATTAAGAGAACCTTTCAGTTCGTCTCCCTACTGTGGCTGAAACTTTTCCAGACAAAATGTGGCTGAAATGCGCTAAATTTAAATCGCCGCGGCGGAAACCACGGGCTTCAAGTGCGCCATCAATCGCGACGACAACTCCATCAACCACCATAATTTAACTACCATTTGGATTCTTCTGCGACTTGCAACACAAAATCAAATCTAATCCACATTTGGCTCATGATCGCAAATCATCTTCAAGATGGCTGATCAACCACCAGCAATGCAACATGAGGACTCTATCAGTTCGCAGGATCCTCATTTACACGGGGACAAAGGCAAGACGAAGAGTAGAAGGCCAGCAAGTCAGAAACCCACGATCTGATGCTATAGGACTGGCGTACTGACAGTTATCTGCGATCAATAGATACGGCATTTAGACAACAAAGATTGAAGGCATGGCAGTGAGTATACGCTTGGGAATGATTGCGCGAGGATGAAGCTGACACGATGCTAGACCTATTCTCACACCTAAAACCGTACTTCCATTATTCTTCGCCATTGGAATAATATTCGCGCCAATTGGTGGTGGGTTATTATACGCTAGTAGTGTGGTCAGTAAACAAAGCACGATTTCTAGAATAGTAATTTTGATAAGGTCATAACTGATGTTTCGGAATAGGTCCAAGAAATTGTACTCGATTATTCGAGATGTCATACAGATGCGCCAATTTGTCAGAACTCGGTCGACACCGGGAGTCTCATGCCTTCGGATAACGTCGATATGTTTTTCAAAAAGCCACATGAATATGAAGGAACTGCTCCAGAATGGTGTAGACAAAATATCAATCAAACATACTACAACGGTAGTGTCGCGCATGCCACTGTCCCGGCTGTCCAATGTCGGCTCACATTTCCAATTAAATCCCCGATGGAACCTCCTGTTCTGTTCTACTACAAGCTCACCAACTTTTATCAAAACCATCGACGATACGCCAAGTCCTTTGACTCCGATCAGCTTTCCGGCAAAGCCGTTTCAGCGAGTACTATCCACTCTGGCGATTGTACACCACTCACGACCGTAAATGACAATGGTGTCGAAAAACCATATTATCCATGTGGTCTAGCTCCAAATTCCGTGTTTAACGATACATTCTCATTTCCAATCCTACAAAACGTCGCGGGTGGAAGTTCCTCAAATGGTTCGATATATCACATGAAGAATAATTCGGATGTGTCATGGAGTAGTGATAGGGCATTGTATGGTCAAACAAAATACAATTGGTCGGAAGTCATTGTTCCTCCAAACTGGGTGGAACGATATCCAAAAAATTATAGCGATGATTACCACCCCGATCTTGAGAACGATGAAGCATTCCAAGTATGGATGAGATTGGCTGGGTTGCCAACATTCAGTAAACTGGTACAAAGAAATGACGATGATACCATGAAAACTGGACAATATCAAGTTGAAATTATACATCGTAAGTTTGAGACCTCTGGGTATTTTTCGGTTTTTGGATTTTCCTTAACAATTTACAGTTTTCAACGTTACCGAATACGGCGGAACCAAATCTATCATTATTTCCACTCGTACTGTCATGGGTGGCAAGAATCCTTTCTTAGGTATCGCGTACATTGTCGTTGGAGGTCTCTGTATCCTACTCGGCGCACTCTTTACCGTCACGCATCTTATCAAGCCAAGAAAACTCGGTGATCACACATATTTGAGTTGGAATAATGACAACCCATCGACGGCGACTACGAGTGGGCGTGAAATGGGCGGGAATATGGGATAGATCTTTTACCCGATTTAGAATTAAGAAGGGGACGTGTAAAATAGCGATGGATGATGAGATATGACGCAGGGGTTGTTTGTTGTATTCGAACATTTCTTTCTTCTTTATCATTGGGCATTATGGCGTCTACGTATTATGAACTTTTTGATCTGTGCTACTTACTTTTGAGAGCATTCTGCGATTCGAGGAAAAGTGGAAGGAAGGAAGGAAGGCTTTTTGAACTGGAATAAGGGATCAAATCAATCAATGGATGCTATGGATATTTTATGTTTTTTTTTCTCTTTCTTTTTTTTTGCTTTGGATTAGAAAGTAATTTATTGCCTTGAAATAGATTGATTGTGTGTTTATGTTAAATTTATGTATGTGATTGGAAGGTAGGTAGGTAGGTGTATGGCGACAGCACTTATTTATATTTATATTTACAGCAACAAAAAGAATATACGAATAGTAAGAATCAAATAAATCCATAAAAAGGTAAATAAAACTACCTAGTGTGTACTTGTTCAGTACATCAGAACATCCATTTGACTAAAAACCAAATCGCTTTCTGCTCTCTGCTTTCTGGGGATATATCACTTCAATCCACTCGCATCTACTAGGTATTCATCATTCCATTCCACTCCATTCATCCCCATAAAAAAACATAGAAAAGAAGCATAAAAAATCAAAAAGGTATCGCAACAACCCCCATTTCATCTGAACCAAGCAGCCGATTTCCAAACTCCCATCATAAATCCATAATTTACTCATTTCTGAGCTTAAGCGAAAACGCCGATTTCCTTCCCCATTTCAAATATCCTAATTCATCATTTAATCAATCAATCGGTAGGTAGCTCGAGTTATTTTGTTTCTCCGCCCTTCCTTCCCATCAAAACCTCTATCTTCCATAATTAGGTTTCCTGGCCATATTAACTATGGGTGGCGGTCCATCCTCCAATGGATAGGGTGCCACATTTCCATTATCAATTGGTCTTCTATACATTCCATCTCCAGGTCTTTCCCCATTAATTGGTGTTTTCGGCGGTACTGGTGGTGGACCAGAAACTCTCCTCGGATTTCTTAGTGGAGGATCTGAAATCCGAATATCTGGACGAGGATATTCATCCAAACTCATTATTGCGATTTTATCAGATCCAGAAGCGGTGCGGTATTGGCTTGGAGTCGGGGAGTTAACAGTCAATCTATCGTCATAATCGCTGGGTCCGCTTAAAGGAGATGAGTGGGGCGAATGGTGGTCTAAGGGGGAAATCGGAGAGAAGGTATCATTCTTAATGGTGCTCAAAGGTGCAACTTCCAGACTATCGTGATGTCCTGATTCGTAACTTGGTCTAGGGGATGGTGTCCATGCGTTATTGGAAACAGGTGTCAATGGAGGTACTTCCGCCGGGAGTTCCACAGCCAGAGGATTCGCTTCGGGAACATCGGGTAGGTCTTTATAACTTTCCCCTCTATTACCCATGGATGGTATTCTCATGTGGCCATTTGCTCTCTGGATCGCTCGGTGAATCTTTGCCAATTTCACAGCTGCCTCGATGTTCATTTTTTGGATATCGTTCTTGGCTAGATACCTTCTAGTTCCGGTGCTAATATCCGCGAGACGATTCCACTCATTCATACCAAATTCTCCCACGCCAATTTCCACATTCAGTCGATAATAATTTTCAATGTTGACGCCTCGTTTACTGAGATGTTCCGCTTTCATGTATTGATGTGTGGCTTCGCATCCTTCAATTTTAGATATCAACCGTCTTCGTGCGTCTGCGAATTCTCCCATGAACCCTTCATACCACATATGTTGATTGTGATCACTTCCTGGTGGTCTCTTTCCTGTCCCTATACTAATAAATACTCCGACATCTCGTCCAGGCCATTCGTTAACTGCAGCTTCATCGAGAACTACTGGCGCAGGATTAAATTGGCCAGCACCTTCGTCAATAAATACTGATTGTCCGATTTGAATAGGTTTGAATGCGAGTCCGGTAGCTGATGTTGCTCGTCCTGCTTCCCAAATTTTACAGTCATATTCCGGTGAGGGTTCTTTTCGTGAATCGTAGGACCGAAGTAAGGCTGGCGCTCCACCTTTTGGAGTACCTTTATAGACTGCTGTTACAGCACTATTCTATGTTAGCTATTTTAGTATATGGTGCTTGTGGAAAACCTTACGTCTTTGTCCTTTCTGGTCGGTTGTCATATAATCTAGCATTAGGATTCCCCCACCTCGAAGAAATGTATGGTTTATTCTGATAGCTGCTAGGACTCCTGTTACTGAAACTTGCGACGCTAGCATTACTTGAATGCCGCCTTGGTTCTGCCCTCGCGGCCGGACTAAATGGACTAATAGGACTTCCCGGATAGTTGGATGCTGGCGCGTACCTATCCCCATCATTTCCTTCCTTTTCGAACAAAGTGTGTTCTCGTACACACTCTTTAATAGCCTCCTCCAACTTTGAAGCCTTAAATAGAGTCGATCGATATGGGATACCCGCGATGGTTTTATCCGTTTCGAAAACCTTCCTCGTCATTCGTACATAGACTTCTTTACAAGTCTCTAAATCCAGTCGTAATCTGCCAAGCATAATCGCAATTAAACCACCTGTTCCTGTACCACATATCAAATCAAAATGATCGGCAGGTTTGGGGATTTGATCTCGTCGAGGGGCTTTTCCTTCGATTTCGACATAAGTTCTATGCATAAGCTCTTGAATGATAATGAGCATAGAATATCCTCGTACACCACCTCCATCTGTAATATGTTAGTGGACTGGCGAAAGGTTGGAGGTTTTGCTTGGCTTACCTAGAGATAATATACGTAAAGGAGGACCTTTTGTGGTATCCTTTCTCTTGACTATACCGGCATCAACCATCGTAATAGTGAAGCTCTCTCTATGGTGAAGAAAGTGTTAAATATTTTTTCTTCGTTGCCTTCTGGGGAATGGGAACTTGTTAAGGTTATTGTTATTGAAGTGGAGATAACTGCAGCCGAAGGAACGAAGAAGGTGTAGAAAAGTGGCGCAGTTAGACCCTTTAGTGGTGGTTCTGAGTACAGGAGTACAGGAGTACTGGGGTTCTGGATATCTTATCCGTGAGGTAGAAAGGAAAAACACAAACAAACGATGACTCCGTACAATAGAATTGTGTTACCGTATGGCCCTCTATTACTCTTTCGACATTATTAAGATTCAAGAGTGATATATGATTTGTAATTTATCTAAGATTTAACCAGGTACTCGTAAGTTCTCAGGCAGTCTTTTGCTTTCGAATGCGAATAACCAAAATCTCGAAAAAGACCATGATATTCCTTCTACCATATCAACAAATATTTAACACCTTATGACGGAGATGTTCGAATCCATGCATCGCCCTACAACAAATGCCGAGCCGCCTGTGTGAAACATCTTTGGTAATGAAGTTTGTTGCTGCAGGTATAAATATTTTCTCATTGGTGGGGAGCAGTGGAAAGGTGGTTCGAAGTGACTCGATGCATCTATGAAGTGAATGAATATTCTCCTGTATATGTCATGTCCTTGTGTACTTGTGTGTATTTGATTTGTTATATGCATTTTGATGCTTTTATTCGAGGTGACTTATGATCCACGAGAAGCAATCGTTTGAAAGGAGAAGCTCCCCCATTCATCCACAGCGCTTAGAGGAAGAAGTGAGTGCTATGTACTCGAATACCCCGCACAATATCTCTTTCTACTCTTTAGAATACAGGTACAGTACCTACAAGGGATAATATTTGGGCACTTGATACTACATACTTTGACAAAAATACACAAACGAAATTCTACAATGATCCTCCCTTCTAGATGTCCACCCAAACTTATATCTCCTAATCATCCACAGGTCCACGACGACAAGTTGACATATCCTGAGCCATTAAGCCTGATGACGTTTGCTTTGAATATACTGGGGGTTTTCAGCTTGTTTGTGTGCCAAGAGAGAAGTAGATTATGAAGCTTGTGGCGGTGCATTCAGAACCCACAATGCTCCACCTGGAGTACATATCTATGATTTGAGACGAATGACCTGCCGGCATGCTTAACTCATGACATGCCGAGAAGATCCGAAGTTTATGTGGGTTTGCTCTGAATACGATGATTTCAATAAAGTCTGGATGTTTCCACATAATCCTTAATATCTCAAACTTATAGTGTCTTTCTCTCGCAAGCCGATGTTGATTCTTACAGAATTACGCAATCTAAAAATAGTTTGTGCAGTATCTCAAGCTCCAACGTCCTGCAAAATATTTCCATTTCAACCTACTCAAGTAAATATTCCAATGATGCACGGTTGGGGAGCATCTTCAATACACGAACGATATCTCATCGTCAGTGCGAGAGTATCAGAAACCACATCAGAGAATTTATCATCAACTTCAAACAAGATTACAACATTTCATCCCAAAGCCTATCCAGAAACAAAGCACTGGGACTGAGGAATTTTGCTTTCCAAGATGAATTTGGCTTTCTCTACTCGTATATGTCAAACAAACGATATCTATATTTTTCTGATCTGTGTTGAATGACGAAATCTACCCCCTTATGTTTGTCGCTAAATGTTTCATAAATATTGATTCCTACATCGTCAAGATTTGGATATATATCATTCTTATGGTATGAAAAATAAGTCCAAACCCTCGAGTGTCATGAATTTGATAAATTCCAAGTCTAGAAATTCTAGTCGATTTCTGGATATGGTCAAAAGTCTTTCTTTTTCTTCTTTTTGCGAGCTATCTATTATAAACTCTAGATAAGATGTTTAATGACCCAGTACTTGTTTCAGCAACATGTGGGGAAATCATCTATGATACCCAAGGCCAAAGGATCTCATATGAATACCAAATCGCGATTCACAAGATATTTGAGTTTTTACTTCTTTCTCAATTGAGTCTGAACTTCAAACCCCAGCTTTTTCCATCAAAATTCTAATTGAGGATTTAACCACTCTTGCCAAGAGATTTTGGCCCGAGTCAAACTTCTGACCCCAATCATGACCGCCAAGTCAAACCTTAGAATGCTTCACAATACATTTCTAGGATGAAATTTATTATGAAAATTGGCTTGGTAGTTTGATATTCAATCCAAGAGGTTACTGAACTACTTGGAACTGTAAGGCAAATATTACATTAAAAGATACTCCGTCCAATACTTTTCTCAACTCACGGCTGAGCCTATCTCGAAATTTCCTTTCATTCATTTTTTCCTTCTCAGCGCTGGGCGTTTGGTTCAATTTCATCATGATTTTCATTAAAGATTTACTACTTTTCCTACTCTTCGTTCTTCTATCTCCTGTTAATGCTTTACCTAAGAAAAATACCGCTTCATCTTCTACAGGCTCTACGACGAAAACAGGAACTGCGGGTGGTGTATCCAAAGCTGCAGGTGGAACGATGATTTTAGATAAAACCGTTCAGATTAAGTACCTTTCCTTGATCCCAATTCATGCAAGTAAAAGTACTAACTAAATAGTGGTCTTCCAATTCGTTATAAAATCAGCGCTCCGGCAAATATGTTTACCCCAGCATCAGGAGTAACCGGCGGCACAGCATCATCCAACACAACCAGAAGAGCAGGTCTTAACGTTCTTCTCCACGGCGATGGAGGAACATCATTCTTCGACTTTCCCAATCAAGCAGTCCAGAATAATCTCATGGGAGTTGTCGTCCTCGCTCCAAACAAAAAAATGTTCTGGGGAGGTGGATCCGGTCTCCAACGTACCGACGGCGTCGCCCACGCCGCAGCAGTAAATACACTAATCCAAACCCAATTATCCAAAGACGTATCATTCGATGCGGGGAATGTATATTTCACCGGTGTCTCAGGCGGTTCTCTACTCCTATCCGGATTCTTCATGCCCGCATTCGGCGCCCAGTATAAAACAGGTGTTCTTTTAAATTGTGGTGCCCTCACCCCGCAAGTGCCCGTTGTGGATGCGAATACCCTGATGTTGAATACGAAGATACATTTTCAGAGTACGAAGGATGAGTTGACTTTATTGCAGGGATCTATTCCCACGGCGATAAGTGCGTATGAGAAATTGGCTAAGGGCGCTGGTATGTCGGTTGCTCAGATTGGAAATTTGCAGACCGTGGATAATACGCCGAGTGGAGGTGGTCATTGGTATGTTCTTTTGCATTTATATACTTAAATCCCGTATCTTGAGTGGTTTTCTGAGAATAAAATGAATGGAAATGATGAAATACAGCTACTGATTTAAGAAAATAGTGGATTCGATAATAAAGATTTCGTCTCTGGAGTCCAGTTAATGGCATCGAATTATGCAAATATCATGGGTAAAAATGCTTCAGGTCAGGTTACGGGAATTGGAAATGTTTTGAAGGTAAGCTTTATGATTTTTTATTTTATTCTTGAGCTTGATTTGGGAGCTTTCGGGGTTTGGATTTATGTGATTAGGAATCTGGGCTAATGTGTTTGTTTGTTTGATAATAGACGGTTGTTGGGAATGAGAAATTGGTTTTTACTACTTCTAATTGATCATGAGGGAGCGGAGATTGGGGATTGGATACCTAGTATGGTGTAGGGAATGGACAAGTGGTTAGAGGGTGGACGAGCTGAAAGTTCGCATATCATGCTGTTCTTCAAAGGACGAGTAAATAAAAGGTTATGTTGACGTTTAAAGATATATTCAAAATCTAGAGTATCTTTTTCACTCCCTTGTTGAGCTACCTAGTATTTACATCTTAGTTTCCAGCAATCCTATCACTCCCTATTATGAAAATTCCTACCTATTCTTATCCTTTCGATAATTCCTGCCTACTATCTAAATGCCCACACGTATCTGTGATATATACACGAAAATCACAGCGCTCGAGTGTAACGATACTGTACTGGAGGCAGCGGCTGCCTAAGGTTTCGTCTGGTTGATAGTTATGGGTTAAGGCTTTATCACTGGTATTCACTTGGAAGTGAAGTCGTTACTAGATCAAGTAGAATGTAGGTAAACTAATTGATAATTAAGTTGAGCACGAAGCTCCTAAACTATAAAACTATTCTGATTATATAATGAACAATAAAGGGAGCCTTCAGGAGCTTTCTGACTCCTCAGGGCTCCTTACCACGTGATTCCCTTTTATCCCAGGACACTAATCCTAATGGTGAATCGTGACAGGTACTAGACTTATGTGAGAGATAGACAGAAACGGAGATGTGAATGTCTCTTTTAGTTACAAAGGAGTTGCATCCTGTATCTACTTTCTAAGTTTTATATTTGGAAATGATAAATTTTCTAAGGTTAAGCTGGCTAGACCAGGTGAACTTGGAGTGTTCTTTTTTTCTGGAGATGTTGAGTTTTCTTATTGTTATCTTTGTTTGCCTCTTGAGGATGGGTCATTTGCGACTCCCTGTTGTCTTCATTTGGAGGTATGGAAAATGGTATGATGTGGTTGAATGCGGGAATCATTCATATTGGTCATTTCCAAGTCATCAGCAGCATTAATGGCTGCGGGTTACAACTCGTGAATAATTCAGTCAATCGAGAAAGCTGAGGGGAAATGCTGAGGAATTAGAGGTTTCTGCACTGCGATTTCTTGCTGAGTCCTGTTTATTTCAATATGAACTTGATGTACAAGCTATTTGAATGTCTATCAAGAGCATGGAATGAACGAAATGGGCAAGCTTTCGAGTTGGGAGCCATGATTCATCGATGTATTTCGACTAATACCCTATGGTCTTTATGACTGGAATATATGACTCTGTGAGGATGACTGTTGGTCGCATTAATTTGACTCTCAACATCTATGATTAATCATTGCTATTTTCCTATTTCCGTCTTGGTCTTAAGTATATGTTCTTGGTCCTCTTAGACTTTAACCCACAGAAGCATAACAACTTGCAACAATAATTCCTCCATCTACAAACATAAGACTTACCTCACGAACCCACAAAACATCAGGTACAATAACTTACTCCATCTCCGCTTTCATGGACGATCACTAATAAATACCATATATTTTAGCTTCTATAGCAAATATCCAATCTCGGAGACTGCTTCTTTTCCTCAGCGAGATGTCTGCTCACCTAGTCGAACATGGAAATTCCATGATGATGGATGAACCAAATGCCGACTCAAAGTTCACCATTTTCAATGAGCTACCTCTCGAGATTCGGCAAATGATTTGGAAGGCGACCTTTCGTGGTAGAGTAGTCAAGGTCATCTTGAAATCTTTTTATCATGTTGGAAATTTTGGAAGCATAAGACAGAGAGACAAAGTAGTATTTCACAACTCCGCGCCATATCCTCGAACTATGTTCGGAAATCGCGAAAGCCGAAACACTACATTGCTCCATTATACAAAGCCGTGCCAGCCAAACCCCGGAAATCCAAGACTATTCCACCCGAAATTGGATTCTGTCACGGTGACCTTCTCAACTGAATATGACTCTAAATGTTTATACAACTGGGATGATCTAAAAAGAGTGGCATGTTGGGATTGTCCTGCTTTAAAGCAGACTCTTCGGACCTTGTTTCTGCCTTGCTTGGATCTATTTCAAACGTATGTGAGACAAAATGATGATTTGACACAGGAGTTCTTGGAATCTTACGACGTGTTCGGCTTTCGAAACCTGGAGCATTTGATCATCTTTGAAGAAGGAAAGGAAGTGGTGCCTCTTGATGGCCAACGTCGTGTTGACTACGAGGGGGTGAAATTGCTTTTCGAAAAGGGGTTTCGGAGAAGAAATTTGAAAGACAAGAGGCACAAGATTCCAAAATTCATTCTCTATCTTGATCAGATCGACCTTCCGCCGGGTTTTCAAGACAAGTTCAATAGATAATCGCTAAATCTTATGTAGTCAAATGAATAAATCGTTGCTTTCCAAAATTTCCCCTAGAAAATGTCTATGCAAATTTAGGTGAATTCTCAACTACATTTTTTTTCCACCGTCAATGTATCCAGAAGTTTGTATTGCAACTTTGCTGTGAAATATATGAGACTAGGAGTTCCCCACCCTAAGCAAGTAATAAGTAATGAATCTAAGCGTAGCGGGTCCGCATGTGGGGAAGGCATATTTCTCAACATTCTCTCCGAGAAATTTTTCTAAAAAATTTATTTCTTTTGTTACTTTCCCATCAAAACAATCTCATAACCACAACTATGCAAACACTCAATGATAAAAACTTCAAGCAAATCATAAGGTTACTTAGATCACAAAAAAAGGGCGAAATGGAAATGCAACCACGGCGAATCGAACGCCGACCTCCACCTTGGAAGGGTGGAATCCTGACCATTGGACCATAGAAGCTAAGTGATCATGTAACAATCAAACAAGCTGTTTGATTGGTTTGATGAGTAAGATTACCAAATATAAATATATATAATCATTTCATGAGCAGCGAAGATTGTAGGCTGATGAACGGGGGATAAGTGGAGATCATATAGTTGGTGGGTGACCTTGGCTACGGTGGCCGATTAGATATATTAATTTATGGGAGTGTAGGAGAGCTTGTGTTGATAAGGGAAGTGAGGTAAGGATGAGGATTATTTATTGGTTGTCCAAAGGAAGCTCTGTTGAGAATATATTATCAAGCATTCTTGTGCTGTTCGAGATGATCGCATGTTTGGCTTAGTGCCAGGTGTAGTGTATAATTATACATCTAGTCGTCGCTTCATAAGCGAATGCATAGAACCACTTTATGGTGCAAAATTTGTCACTCTGCACAAGTGTATTTCATAGAGTTGGAGTCGTGAAGGCGCAATTTGTCGAGAATAAAAAGTTGCTCTTATTTTTCACTATTCTACTTTATCTGTCGAGTGACGATGATTCGTTGTTCCGAGTCACTGCTACATGACCAGACACTATGGTTCCATTTCGCGGAGATGCTTGTGTATGGGGGTGTTTATTCTGGAGTGTTCTTTTTGGTGCATGTCTACAAACACCGTATCGAGAGGAATTTATACACATACAAACTGTCTGATAAAGTTCATCAGAGGATAGTTGGATACTTTGATCAAATTTCCTCCTAACAATTACGCAAATCTCTGCCACTACTTTTACACAAACATTCAACATGCAACCATGATCCTTTCATAATTCATGAAGTCATAATCTTATTGACAGGAACAATGAGGGAGTGCTTTTAGAGTCTGACTTTTGTATTTTTTTCATGAATACAAAGTAAATCTCTGATTTGATAAATGACTGGATTCTTGGACATAAATATCGGTGTGCAACAGAAAATATGATTCTTGAGCAACATGACTCCCGCCGATTCACAAAGTCATGAATCGGTTCTGCAAGGCAAGTCATTACTGCTGGAATGAACTAATATCTGTATTTATTCGTGTTGAGAATGTCTCCCATTTTCTTCCTTTCTTATAATATAACAACGCTTCCTTTAAGTCTCCTCGCAAACACTGCATGAGCTCAACAGGACCCACCTTCAAAGTTCACATCGTTACAAACAGGAAACTCATTTGTATCAGAATACTCCAGTTTAAGAGTCAAATTCGTTGCGCGCCGTCCATCGATTTTCCGAAAGATCACCATGGTCTTACCACGCTTTAAAAGATCTATCCTCCTCGTAGTCTTTGCTGCCTTATCATTCATTACCGCCACTCAGGCCAAATCTTCGATTGGTGCACCTCGAATCACCATAGCTGCATCTTTATTGAACGGTGCCGGTAGTTCTCCTCCGAGTGCATCCCAATCTTTGACCTTTACGTAAAATATACGTGAGATTTCGCTCATCATACAGTTTTGTTTGCAATTGCTAATAAGTTCATTGTGTAGCCGATTGTTGCTTCCGGGCAGGCGGGGTTCCAGGGAAGTGCGAAAATGAACCCGCATGTGAACTACGACCTAGTAAGCGCGCGGTGTTAATGCCTGCCTCAACTTTGAGCCCGTCTGTTTCCACAACTCCGAGAAATAGATTGGGACAGAGAAACAGGGAGAAGAATACGTTTTTAAGGCAGCTTTGTATTTTCGTGTTCTATCAGGTTTTGAGGGTGGTTCTTTTATGAGTTTGGGTGACGGTGGATTGTATGCTTTGTATGGAAGATCTTACGAGGGAGATTTTAAGAACTATTAAATCAGCGGAGTCTCAGAACTAGCTTGATAACTTACTTAACATTAGTGCGTGACTTTTGGGAAGCAGTCAGTCTTTGAGTCTTGCCACAATACTAAATCAACTTTTAATAAAATAAAATGTGATTTACTGTTATGCATGCGACTCAATTGATGTTTTGGTGATTCAATTATTGACTTGTCACTAAAGAGATTTTTCAGTCAATGAATCATCATCAGGATAGATGACCTCGCCTCCCTCCCTCAGTACACATATATAAGAAGCACCTCGATCTCTTTCTGCATTGTCCTCAACATACATTATAACAAATTATCCCATATACGATTCACTTCTCGAATGGTATTTGTGTAAATAATCAACTCGTCATTCTCAATATATACCTCCTTGCCTGGAAGTATCAAAGTTTCCACAGCCAAATAAAATCCTCCGCCAACTTCCCAATTTCCCAGTCACACTTATCATCATTATGGCTTCCACACGATTCAGTAGATTTATCACCCTTAAACTATTCCTCATTTTGACACTCGTCACTATTGCCCAAGGAAAAGGAGGAAGATGGGGAGGAGGAGGAAAAGGAAAGCCAAAGCCAAAGGACAGAGATGTGCTCAAATGTCTCTACATAACACCCGCCGGCTACGCTGACAATCCGGCTGCCACAAAATCCAGATATACCATCACCGTCACTTCTGGGAGTGTTATTTCCACTCCAACTTACGGTAAGAAATGGAAAATCCTCCTTTCATAAACTAAACTAAAGCTAATTTATATGTAAAGATGGATGTTGCTTCTTAGATAAACCTCCAAAAGAATGCGACCGTGACACGGATAGGTGCAGAGGAGCATGCAGTTTGGAGCAAATAACTGGTGAAAAGAGTGCCGCGCTGAAAGTCGTGATAAGTAGTTTGCTAGTAGTGGGATTTTTAGTTCTGTCGGTACTACTTGGCGGTCTGGGGTTATTTTTACTTTGAACTGAGATGGAAATATGAGTGGAAAGATGACAAAATGAGAAGGATTGCAGGTAGCGGCAGGTCAACATACAATCAGTTGTAGTAAGAGTGGGAGAGGAGGATCAAAAGTTTTGCAGTCTGATGTTTTATTTAATGGAGGAGACAAATTAAGAGACCATAATGTGCATTTTTTTTCCATTCAGTGAATTTATATGATGACCAGATAACGCACCATTTCTACAACTCTTGAATTCCACTTCTGACTCCTTGTAATTACAAATATAAATCATCTATTCTTATTTCACATCAATAAGTCAACATACTACTTCAAATAGTTAGAATGCCAGAACAATCTACAATTATTAACGCACTGCTGTCTGAACCCGAAAAGTCAATCATTTACTGATTTCACGTTTTGTTAAATCATAATGATTTTCCTCACACTCTGAAAATCTCCATACTATGAACCCGTCTGCTTTTCTTCAATCATCACTTCTGTCTAAAAAAAATGGAGTTTAAGTCTAAGGTTGAGCAGATCAGATCTGTACCTTTGCTTTCCGACACCCATCAGTTTCATACAAGGAAATGTATCTTTTGATTCCAATCATAATGTCCCTATTATCGGGGAAATTGTTGCAATTAGCACAAAACTCTATGTTGTAGACTTCTGCACTCCTGTTAGTGGGGCTCTTTGGTAATGCAGATTTTTCTTTAAAAGCATATTATTTCCTACAGAACATGAGCTATGATTGTGTAATGTCCCCTATCAATTCATAACTCTTAAACCTGAGTCCACGTTCCATGTTCTCAATATAATGACTCAATACTCGTGAGTCTAACACGGTGACTCAATACAGTGATTGTAATTGTTGTGAAAAACTATCGATGAGGAACTAATAATCTCTTTAAATGTTCCTCTTTCACTTCCACGATTCAAAAACATACCCACGAAAACATCCAGCAATCAAAATCAACAAAACGCATCTACATCAACTTCGAGCTACAGTACTTACTGTCGAATCACCACTATCTCAGCACATCAGTTGTCCGCATCATCCTCTCTAAAAGCGACCATGATCTTCTCACGCTTGACCAACTCTCGGGCTCGTATCCTTCTTAGCCTTCTCATCTTCGGCCTCATAGTCTCAACTCAAGCAGAACCAAGAACCAAAAAATCTTCAAGCCCAGAACCTTCTCAAAGCACCATTACTTGGACCTCCGCAGCTGCTACCATTACGAGTGGAGTTGGTAAGACTCAGATTCTTCCTCTTCCTGCCTATCCCTGTACGTCGTTATATCCGACTATAGCTAATACTTATTCATAGATGAATGTTGTTTCTCTGGACTTTGTCGGGCTGATCAGGATAGATGTTATGGTTATCATCATCGGATTGATAGCAATAAATCTGGGGGAAATATTACGAAGAAAAAGATTTTTTGGGCAGTATACGTAGCTTCTACTTTCTTTGGGATTTTGGGTGGTTTGGGTTTGATGTTTTTGTAAGGATAGAAGAGGGCTGGTGAGAAAGAAGTAGGTCATTGACGATTACTCTGAAACTGTTCTATTAATGCCTGATTTTTCGTTTTCATGAACACAAACAAACTTTGGATTCATACAAAAATGTACAGTATGCATTTGTATGAAGATGTGAGATAAGAGATCGTGCAATGGCTGGAATTCTCTCTTCTTGATAATCCTAGTGTTGATGATTGACAGCTCTCGGAGCTGTTTTAGTACAAGGGAAGTGAATTTCACAGACTACATGAACAATAGAAATGGGAGGTAGTCATGATGTTGAACGAAATCGAATAGAGCAATGACATCGACTCACGCGGCTCAGGTATAATGACGAATAGGATCATGGCAATCTAATGTTTGACCGGCTGGACAACCAGTATATGATAGTGAACAACACCCTATGTTTTCAGCGGCAATATTTGTGGTAGGCTTAAGTGTGTGGTGTAATTAGCGTGGTGAGCCCGTAAAAACAACATCGTGGGCCCGAGTTTCAGGCTCTGCTGCTCCACGTAGAACAATCAAGGACAATGAATCCGGAGTATCTCAATAACTCTCACTTATCCACTGGGATATTGCGACGGGAAAACTACCTTGAGGATGAAATGTATTGTTTTGAAATAAAGCAAGTAAAGGCCTAATCAGTTGGAACCATGGCGACTTTGGGAGCACTCGTAACTTGAGAGGGTTGCATTTATGAGTGAACTATTTGAGTTAAATCAGGCACAATGATATATTGAACGACCTATGAAGGACTGATCAGTGAAGTGGGTATGTACACCGTCTTTCCTCAACTCTCCCAACGTAACTAAAGAAATGCCTTTTCATCAATCTTCTCTCGCTCTCGATTGCGTTGAAGCAGCAACCACTCTACCAGAAACTCGACGCTAATGACTTTATCTTTCAATTCCTCCATGAGCTCTTCATCATGAGCTTCAGTCATAATTTGCCGAATCTTAGTAGAACTAACACCATTCGACGCACTAATTTGCGAGGCACGGAATCGAATAATCGGATTTACAGGTACTGTCAAAGCCTTACACATCCACAACACACCAGCACTCTCATTGAGCTGCTCTTTCTTCTCCTCTTCTGCCTCCGTACATTTCTCCCAAGCCGTACAGCCCGGTAAATTCCTCGGAATCTCCTCTCCCTTCGGATCAAAAAAGTCAACCGGTCTTCTCGCATTAATAATAAGAAACTCATCCACCGGACCCCATTCCTGCAAGTCTCCCGGATGTAAATGTGGAGCACTTTCTATCGTCAACTTATCCCCACCCAAAAGTCCTACCAACTTGACATCAAATCCAGCTTCGGAAATGAGATCAGTCGTCATACGTAAGACTTTAATATGAGTATCCATATCCCCTACAAGAAGCTGAAGCCATCCAGATTCGACTAGCTGGTAGATTTTCGGAACCCGGTAGAAGAGTTCGTAGCGGAGTTCTTGTGGAAGAATTATGTTGCCCCATTTCTTCTTTTTTCCTTGAACAATTAATCCGGGGTCTACAAAAATAAATATGGCAGTGACACCAAGTTGGCCACGGCGCTCTGAGAAATAGCGAATTGTGGCGAGGTGGCCTTGATGGGGTGGGTTGAAAGAGCCTGGATAAAGGAGGATGTTGTTTCTGCTATTTGATTCGAGAATGGGACAAGAAGTATGGCTATTTTGCAGAGTAAGGTTATGATTGGAATGTGATTTTCCTGAGAAAAGACTGGCTGGAATCTCTCCAATATTGATAGGACTTTCCATTGCTTTTTGTAAGAAGGGTTGAATGGTGTTTGTGCGGACTTGATGAGGATCATTCAAAACAGCCGTCAGTTCTGGATTTCCATTCTCAGCTCCATCTGTAACGTTGGCCGACATTTTGTTGAAGGTGTAGCCATTACAAAAGTTTAGTTTGGAGAATAACAAAGATCGTCAAGATAATTTGTGGTTCTATTGAGGCTGTATGATGAATAAAAGGAAGATGCAGAAAAGGGGTTTGAAAAGCGCTTCTCAACGACTTTTGCGAAAGACTTATAATCATGTACGGAATGTTTTTCTGTCGTTCCAAATCAGGCCAAAATTATGGTGAATACGAAAATAGACTAGAAACGATGTTAAGTTATGTATTCACTAGTTTGATCCTGATCTCCCCTATCATCTTTTCGTATCATAGGACGGATGTCCATCCTACAGTGAATCGAAGCTACAGCTCCATGGTTCAATCCCAAGTTTGAAAAATGTTAGAACAAACCCCAGTGATTTCTCTGCATGTAAAAATCAGAGGGACATGTAGGCTTTTATTTCAAGATGTTGCCTCATCACACATATTCTCTTTTTGAAAGATCGACGTGCGCATGACCTTGCGGGCAAAATAAAAACTTGTTCTCCAAATGAGATTTTTGAGTGTGTATCGCGGGTAACATACCGTGTTATGTTTAAAGCTCGGCTTTCTATACCATCATAGACATATATCCTCGAAGATAATTGTTTTATCAATCATCATTCATCAGTGACGATGAATCCACCGCCAGTCAAGAAATCCGGGGTGTGATTATCCGTTATATACAGATCTCATTCATAATCCCAGCCATTTTGCGACCCGGTATCCATCATTCCAGATCTCGACACGTAACTCGGGCATTCTACAGGCCTTCTTTGAAACTTGTCACTGGGCTCTGTGCACCATGGATCTAATTATACTTCTCCAAGTCACGATCACAGCTAACTACCCATGCACCAAACGCATGAGATTGGTCAGATCTCTGCCGTTAATACAAATCGACGAGCCGGGATTTGATTTTGATTTGAGTCGCATAAAGAATAGCGTGGAGTCCAAACGATTGCTCCAAACCGTAGCCGATGGTCGTTTCGAAATGATGTACTAGGTGGATAACGGACAATATAGCTTTGAAAATCTATACCTCCTGACGCAAATTATAAAATATCGAAACCCTCAATAAACATTACGCCTTGATCAATCGAGGAAAGTTATCAATAAGAGCCTGCTGGGCATCATATACTACCTATACTTCAAACATGTATTGATTATAGTTGAGCAAGAAAATTTCAACCATCATTACATTTACTCCCACCCCCTTCTCTTCCTTCAATATCTTTCAACACCCTTTCCGTGGCATCTTCTCTTTCTTGCAACACTTCATCAATCGTCCTAACAGGTCCCTTGAAAAACGTATTTCCACCATACCTAGGCACCCAATAATACACCACACAGAAAAGCAAAACGAAGCCCAAAACCACAACAGCATAATTCATTTCCTGTGCATTTGGGTGTTCGTAGCTGGGAAAAAGTAGCAAGACAAAAATGAATGTCATCCATGCCACAGAATAAATTGCACTGACATAACTAATTGTATCGCCCATGTACCATACCCCCGGTGTAAAATGCCGGAATAGGAGTCGGGAGATTAAAGGCATGCAATAAGCGAAGTACAGACCCATAATAGCGAGATTGAATATACTATTTATGGCGATGGAGTTGACGAGCATGAGAAGCCCTTCTGCAAGAGTACAAAGAGCGACGAAAGAAATACCGCGGACTGGGGTTTTGTTGGATGAGAGCACTCGCAGGTAGGACGAAAATGGAAGGCCATGGTCTGGACGAGATCTAGTTAGCTTCCTTTTGCTATATACTTCATCATAAAATTCATGAGAACCAAGCTAAGACGACTAACCTCTAGCAAAAGCAAAAGTTTCTCTCGAAGCCGCGACCATTAAAATCGAGCAATTGGCCACACTCGAAACCCATAGGAAGATCAACAACGCAACACTTCCGGTTTTACCCAAACTATTGAACGCAATCTGTGCCAAAGGCTGGCCCAAAGGTGATGTCACTATACTTATTACATTCGGCCCCATACAAAATGCAATCGTTATAATGACTGCCCAACCTGTTATTGCGGCTGTTACTAGTGAGGAGACCATCGCAAATGGAACCGCTTTCGCAGCATTGCTCGCCTCTTCCGCTATAGTAGCTGCGCTTTCGAAACCAGAAACAACCCATACCGGGGTAAGAAAGGAGAGCATGAATGCCCAACCATTGTTCGTCCAGAAACCAGTGTTTTGGAAATCTGCGAAGACAAAACTCGCCGAGTTCTTGAGTTCCGAGCGTGTCCCAGCAGCAAGTGAAATAATCAGAGCGAAAAGCATAGCAAGTTGCAAGAATATATAGAACAAGTTGAGACGAGAGAGCGTTTGTGAGGGCACACAAGTCATTCCAAAAGTCAGGAAGGTGGTCGCCGTGAACATGCCGTAGTTTTGGTACTTCGTAGCCACAAAGACGAAATCTGTGTTAATACTACATATCGCACCAAGAATGAGGGTCGCTGCATATATAGTAGATGCGTATATCGATATATACCCTAAGACGTTCATATAACCTCTGGATTTTTCAGTACGCGGTTTTGACATGATCACAGACGAAAGGACTTACGCAAGCCAGCACATGAATGCTCTCTGTCGTGGTGGAGTCAAACGTGCAACCCACTATCAATAGTTAGGATAAATCAATCAACCTTTCTCAGACACTGTAACTTGCATAGTACAAACCTCCAGAAGTAGGCATGCTACTTCCTAATTCCCCCAGGCTCAAGGCAACTGGGATGAGCAACAAACATCCCACCAAGTAGGTCCATACCATTCCCACACTCCCAGCACTGCCTAAACTGAAAATCATACTCTCGGCAATTGCTGGAGCAATTCCCATAGCTCCAAAACTTTGCCCGAAAACGGTGATGTACGAAAATTCGCGTTTCAACTCAGCTCGATACCCCAAAGTTGCTAATAGTTCGTCATCCCCTGATATTGTTTCACCTTCTTCGACACCCAACGTATCAGCCGCCTTTGCCATCTGTTCCGATTGTGATATTGACAGGGGCTTGCGGCTATCATGCCCCCCTTTTTCGGAATATTTAGTTTCCTTAGACATGACGAAAGACACCACTTGATGTATGGCAAAATATTGATGACTAAACTATCTATCCGATCTAACTTATGTTTCAATAAAAATTCACATAAATGTGGTAACAAATTGTAGAAATTTGAGGAAAGAGGACTTGGGGAATATCAAAAAATGGGGTATGAAATTCTTTTAGATTAAATCCCGAGCTCCTTCTATCAACACTCAAGATAAGGAAACCATCCGCAAAATGATTAAGGTTCCTGCATCATCCAATTCTTGAGCCTCAACATGCAGCAATGAGCATAAAGAGTTCATTCTTGTAGTCTAGTAACGATTGCTGTCGTACATGGAGAAGACAACGTAATGCAAGCCATGCAGTGTCATGGTGAAAAAGAAGTGTGGAATGTGAAGATAAGGAATCCGGGGAGCATGCTCGCTAGTGGACAATGTGTGAGAGCGATAAGAAACCCCCGGAATGACACACTCAGCCTTAATGCTGGAGTCCCCAAGTCATCTTTCGAAGCCATGAACATGGAGGCTATGAAGATCGATATCGATAAGCAATTCGATTGAGTAACAAAAATAATCATGATGGCAGGGCTTGCGTACCTAGGAAAGAGATATGAACCTGTAGTTTGATAACCCTTTATTGGACCATTTTTGAGATGTGACGTCGTCATTCTGCTATCTGATCCAATCCGTCCCAAATCAAGGGCAGACTGCTCCATGGGAAAGGCAAGTGTATTACCGTCGCGACCTTCCTAATTTCATACTGTATGATTCATTCAATCGTAGATAGCTTTTATATCGCGCTGGGATATCCCCATCGACCAATAACATAAAGGAGGTTCGTAAAATCTCATGTCGCCTTATCGATGCAAATCACTTGATTAGCTGCGAACGAGGTAGATAAGTAGATATGAAGCTTTCCAGCTTCCGCCGTCTTTTCCAGAGTGAACGTCGGCTCGAGAACATGAACAGAACTGGAGATGATTCGTTTTCATTTCCGATGACGGATAAACATATGCATGCTTTGCAATCACGGGTAGCTGGAGTTGGCTTCCTTGATAAAATTGAAGAGGTCAGTGACGTGAACGAATGTCAAATTGTGTGTTCTAAACAGGTAAAATAGTGCAGAAACAAGACCAAGTAAGAGATTATGTCATTTTTGGAGTGGAAATGGTGATGTTGAGAATATGAAAACAAATTGCGAAGGAAGAATATTTGTTGCTTGCCATCTGTTCCGAGTCAGGTGATTATGTAAGTGAAAGACAGGAATAGGAAGGAAGTAACAAACGAAAATGTGTCATAAAAATGCCTTTTCAATTATCAGTTTACATCCATCCTACCTTTCTATTTTCACGAGAAACGGCAGTGTTTTTGGAAGGCATCTACTTACGATACAGAAATCGTTACCAGTATGTGCCAGCAGGTCACTTGGTTGCAAGAGGAATGGAAACACCTTTTTTTCGTGAAATATTGTGAGATTGATAAAGTCCACACCAATTCATATTGTGAAGTCGGTTGAGCACCTTCGATAATCTTTAAAATCTATGACACGGTGAGGAGGTTTCAGGCATAGGTGCTAGGACTTATGCTAGACGTGTCGACATGTCATTAGAGTCCTGGATTACAGCGTGGTATTCTTCTCCTCCATTCAATTTCAAATCGAGACACATTCACATCATACCGAGCGTTGGATACAAGTGAGTTACGGTCGTGCTAATACTTTTGCAAGCGCTTTCTCGACATCGAGATCCACGAATCTATCCCCACACCCACATTGAATGTCTGGCTACTTTCCACTTCTACCTTTACCTTCTTGCTTCGCAGCATCACATAACTTACGTAATGCCTCTCCCATTACCAACCGAGCCTTTTCCTGTCTCCCTATTTGTTGGGCGTAAGGTTTCAATGCCTTTATACCTAGCTCAAGACTTTTCTCTTTCGACATGAATGGGACTTTGATCGATTCAGTCGTTGTTAGACCTTAACCAACCCTATTTAATCAGCTTCTCAGATAATAGCTTGGTGAGAATGACAATGATTGGCCTCGTTTAGCACTTTTAGCAGCGTCTGCTCGATGACAATCGGTTCTTCAGCCATTCCGCTCAGGCCTGGATAATTCGTTGCCATCTCTTCAACCTGGAGTCCAATTACCTTGAGTCATTGAGCACTTTACTTTGATCATTGTCGTTACTGACGCTTTAGGGATGATTAGAAATGCTACGAGTTATCACTTACGCATTAGTATTAATGTGTACAACAGAGGCTGCAATACAAGAAAAAGCATACGTTGAGCACACCTAATAGGCCGCCAACTACAAAGCCTCCCCACATAAATTACTTTGGAAAAGCACTTCCTCTTTTGTCATTATGCTCTCTATATGAAAGAGAAGATACCTCATTTTAACACTTCCTAGGTAAGATCAGATTGACGTGCGATTCATAATATTAGCTACATAGTCTGATATTTTGGAATTAGCCACACAAGAGAAGGACGCATACTCTTCTCCAGATCGAACAAGTATCACGCCGAACTTACAACTCGAACGCAGTACTATTATCCTTTAATATGACACTATGCAAATATCTTCCAATTTCACTTATGAATTCATCGATATCATCTTCAGATTGCGTATTGCTGATATGTATATTTCCAACGGTGTATGATGATATGGAGCCACTGGAATTTCGCGAAAATTAGCTGCAGTGGAACTCCACCTCAAGGCTTGAATAATATACAAGACTTGGGATCACAAATACAGAATTCGTCGGTTTGTGTTTCGTGGAGCCTCAGCGCTAAACAGCAATAAACTTTCCGTTTAACCTTCTCATCCTCACGGAAAACCACAGAATCACCAAGGGAAACTTGAAAGCCCATGGAATGTGGCTTTCTGTTTTGTTCTTGCCTGCTGAGGTGCTGCGGCGGGTTAGATATTGTTGGATATCATGCCCATCGTTTACAGGCACCAGCTGTCTTTAGCGCATGAAAAATTTCATGCCATGATAATTTAATTGGAACTCCCAAGACTTTTGAAATTTAATTGTATGCAAGAAACCACCACACTGTCTTCACTGGATAGTGCATTCATACTCACTAAAAACGATAGTTCGTCCTTAGAAGAGGTGATTGAAAACGCCTGATGGTAGTTTTGTCAACTGCTTACAGCACTGCCTATTTGAGATGCAATATTCCGAGTAGAGACATGCTCCTGACGTTTAATTCGTGCCACTTTTTCATATAGTGGCGGGGTGAAGTCTCGGTGCGACTTAAACAGCTGGGCTGCATCCGTACGACTACTAAGCCTCGCGACAGCCTTGATGGTAGGATTTTATAGAAAAGCTCTGCTTGTCCACATTTATGCTGCCAAAAGGAAGTCCAGCCTATTTGAAATTGTTTTGTTGTTCATATCAAACTCAATTTTGAAATAACTTCTCACGATGGCAGAAGTCCTCGGTGGTATTGCCAGTGGGATCAGTATCGTGCAGCCCGGGGGGAACCTTGCGTCTGGCATCATCAAACTTAAAGATTACTGGGACCAGATCGAGGACGCACTGGATAATATAGCCTTTCTCATGCGAGAGATCGAAAGTCACCAGGTCATTCTGCGTAGTATTCTCGAAACGCAGGCAAGAGTTAGGTATCCAAATCAAGCTACCGGAGGATTTTTTGAACATAGCATAAAACTATGCCAAAATGCTTGTAGAGAGTTAGATGACCTTGTCACCAACCTGGCGAAAGATGTCAGTTCCAACAGGAAATGGAGACGGAAATTAGGATCTACCAAAGTTGTGCTGAAAGCAGACGAACTGAAGAGGTTGAAAAAGAGAATGAAAAGCGCCTCCAGATCCTTATATCTAGCTATCTCCGGGCAGACCAAGTAAGTTGCTATGGAATTTGTGAATGGAGTACTAACAAGCCAAAGTACAGTTTTACAACAGCAATCGTCGACCATAATCTCAAGTGTGCAGGCCTTAGATCATTTATTGATACAATTTCAAGGTCATGTTTTCTATCCACGCGTACCAGAGTCTATATCTAAAGCATCGATGAATAGCGCAGTCTTACTAAGATGGTTGCCGTCGCGAAAAAGTCAAGATCCCATGTTCCGATCATGGATGGCGTGCTTAAACAGTCTTCTTTCGAATATCTCGAATATGGCTCTACCAGCTCTTCTACATGGATGACATACCTGTTTGGATCATTCCAAAGTCGAAAACGGGATCAAAAAGACCATACAGTGAAGGTCCAGGAATCGAAAGCTGTCTATCTCCTTCCAGCATGGATTTCCATCACGGCATGGCAACGTCTGTACATCAAAGACTTATCTTTCTTGAGATGGAACTTTGAGATCCAGTCTTATCGTACCTTGGACTCAAGCTCAATATTCTTTCAATCCATAATCAATGGTGATGTTTTTAATGTGAAAAAAATGTTACAGGAAGGAAGAGGCTTTTTAAATGATAGATTTTATTTCAGTATTTTTTTTTTTTAAATATAACTGTCTATCCATACAAACTGAAGCTGATAAAGTTTTTGGGAGTGACACCTCTTCATGTGAGTCCTATGACCGTCTATGAGTCTGTCTCCGCTTCCAAGTGTCTAATGTTTCACAGATTGCGGCGTACAATTCTCATATTGATATGTGCAAATTGCTTCTTTTGGCAGGTGCTGATGTTTCAGCTGGTGACCATGCCTCAGGGTAAGAGCTAGATTGACTCGATGAATTTTTTGGCAATAGCTGAATCAAATCAAGTCGCACACCTTTGGGACAGGTAGTAGCTTTAGCGGGCCCCCCCTACACGATGGAATACAGGCTCAAGCAGGAGCCTTTTGAAGTAGTTCGCATCCTGACTGAGAGGGGCGCGGATGAAGAGCTTCTGGAAGATACGACCATTTTCGAGTCTAGTCATGGACCTGAGGATGTATTCAATTACATTCAACACCACACATTTTGGAAGGAGCCTTCATTTGCAGAAAAGCGCATCGTTTTTACGAGAATGATTAAAGAAAAAGGTCTATGGGCAGATGGGGCCCAATTAATTAGATCATTTCTTGGTGGACCGAATCTCTCATCACGCATTATGCTACACAGAACTGAGACCCCAATTATCGAATTATTCGGAATAATGTGGGTGAGACTTGCAATAGTGAGGAGTTTTAAAGCTAAAGAACGTTGGAATGATCCAATGCTTGTTCAGTCATCTAAGTCATGGGAAAAGCTTGTCCGTGAAATGACAGCGTCTGGAATTACTCTCCATGGTCCTTATGGTCCTTCTTGTTACGAAATGACACCTCTACAAGGATCTCTAGTAGATTCTTTAGGCGTATTTGGGATAAGTCACTGCGAAATATTATTAGACTGGCTAGAAATTCTTTTTTTGAGTTAATGTCGACCTTGAACGGTACGGAAGGAAAGAAATGGCGTTGTTTAAGCGCTATAATAGAAAGAACTGGGCACCGCTATTATTCTGGACTCCAGTGACTCACACGGCACAAGTGAACTACGTATACACGGCACCCGCGGACCGCATCGACTGGAAGGTGAAGTGCAAGTGGGGATATTCTCATATCGTTGAGTTTCGCTACGGTCCTCGTCCAGAGGATTGGAATTTTTGGTTCTCAGAGCCAACGGATCAATTTGCTGGAGACTTTGGTCCCTTATCGAAGACCCCCCTCTAGCTAAACTTATTCCGGGAGCATGGGTGGACTAGTCTTCGCGCCTCTTACACGACTTCTATAGTTAAAGAGCAAGGTGTGGGTAGCTTATAGACGCATCTTTGGTACGCGAATAACACGCGAGCATCACTAAGCTTGCCGGGTTATTCCATGTCATGGTTCTTTTCACATTCGGAAATACAGTGCATTTTTAATTGTGGATTGGTGGTTTCTACGTCAGCTGATACTTCTAATTTGTATTTCCTATTGACATCTTGAAATAACTAGTATTTCAAATGACTGCCGTATCAATAAGTCAGTTTCCTAAATTTTGTTTTGAATTTTTCGCATGTGAGCCTCAGCTTTTGATTTGGGATACGGAGCATGTATACTGGATTTTCGTTTGCCTTTAGCTAGCCAAATTATTCAATTTCTATGAACCTTTAACTTAAGACTCCAAAACATAAACGCGGACTCCACCTAGATTTACTATCTCGCTTGCCATTTCCACAACTTTGCCGGCCGACTACCTTGGGCTTAAGCTTCAATGATTGGTGCTCTGTATGTATCTCTGATAATTTTATATTTTTTCCCTCAAACTCAGGCATCGATAGGGCACGACTGTGCCCTAAATCGCATATTGAATCTTTTCGTTGAATATTGATATCGTGCATGCCGCCGGCTTTATAAAAATTTCTGCGACTTTCGAGGTATAGGTGACTCGAAAGTGAAACCAGGATTAGATATTTGTAATCTGTTCAAGGTATTTGATTTTTATAGGGTAGATATCATATCTCGTTTGGGTTTTATGGGGTAATTACTTAGCAATATTGTTGGGTGTTAGGGTACTGCAGGGTAAATATCATGATATATTTATAGGATAATGAAATCACTGATCAATATACTTCAATCAAATAGCCTCACGTGTTAGATACCCCGCAATACACTGACATCCAGAGCATTTCATTGAATTCCTAGTTACGCTACCTTGTATAGCTCGAGCAGGGTGGGTTTTCGGCCGGTTTTAGCTCGGGTTACCCGGTATACCCTACCCTTTGCCTAAACCTGGCACTGTGAAATGCATCGATACAAATTGCTTTCACTTCTTTGAGAACTCCAGCACATAACAAGTGTCATAATGATTATTAAATCTATTCATTTTAAATAGAGAAACTGAATGCAGCCTAAAGACTGTTACAGACAGTTAGAAGAATATATATAAGGGGCAAAGCACGGTCAACTCCGCCTCCACAAATCTCGTCAATCCTCAACGCAACACTTCATTACTTTTCCTCTAGCCCCGCCACAACTCTCATAACTAGAACTATGGGTATAAAACCATAGGGTCAACACCTTGAGCCGTTCCCAATGTAGTCTCATATTGCAATTTCCACCACTCGACTCTCTGGCGGTCCTGCATAAACTGTCTGAATTGACTAGTTTGAGTAGTGTTACTTGTGTACAAAAAGCCACCAATATCCAAACTTTTCCTGACTGATCCCTGAGTGGCATTCTTCTGGTTCTCATCACTTGTCATCCAAGCTAAGAACAATTTAGCAGTATTCGGTCTCTTAGAAGAGGCAAAAGCCGCAGCAGTCTGAGTCCATGACATGTGTTGCTCTGGAGCCTCTGGAACGACGGAGTGAATGGTTGTTGCATTTTCAGGAGGGTAAGAGGTGAATGTGAGAACACGTCCTTTCGGTGACAAACCGGAAGCGGATGCGTTGGCGCCGTTATGGTTATCTCGAATAACGAAGCCAGGAGTAGCGGTACCGCGGACCCATTGGACGTCTTGGTTTGCCAATTTCTCCAACCACTCAAACCCATACTTTTCAATGATAATGGAGAAGAGATATGCGATCGCGTCGTCATCGTTAGGATAGGTCGCCACAATTTTACCCTTCCATTTGGAATCTAAAAGGTCGGCATAGCTTTTTGGAACCTCAGATTCTGATACATAGGTGCTATCATAGACAAAAGATCCGAAGCTGTCTGAAAATAGAGTAAATACGAGAATTCTGCGGAATAGATAGTACGGATAAATACTTACCAACACTAACCGGCAAAAAGGCACCGTCAAGATCCTTCTCTCCCGAATACAAATCCTCAAAAGTTGGTGGCTTGTAGAACAACAAACGACCTTCCTCCTTCCATCGCTGAAAATCATGGAGAGTTTGAAGCATGGCAATATCGACAGTCTCGCTGTTATTCCAGTATGCGCGATCAATCCGGCTGTCGTGGTATTTCGATAGGTCGACAGTGAGATCAAGCGAGATCTTTGGGAATCGTGCGGCCCAGGCATCTCTAATACCCTGACCTTGAACTCCGGCTGGTAACTTGTCAATACATATCTGTATGGTTGAAGACTTTCGCGTTCAGCGCCAGTCACGGGAAAGTTTACTTACCATCACCACCTGCAGCTACGACCAATTTTCGATCTTCTTTAAGAGCCTCGGAGTAGAGTTTATCGATCGATGAAGTATCAATCTCGACAGGCTTGAGTCGAGCAAGTGAGGTGCCGAGTATGCTGCTCACAGCAAGGAGTCGGGTGGTTGGGAAATACATTGTGAGATAAAACCAGACAGGATGCTTTCAAAACTAGAAAAGAATGGCCTTGATTCTTAGTTTGCTGCGGAATAGAATAGCACTACAGAGAGAGGAGAGAAGCTCTTATATGTGTGCTCCAAGAAAGAAAACATGGGTGAGCATGTCGACAAGGCAGACCATCATCGTATCCAAAAAGCTCGCCATCTTTGGATGGCACTTGCACTATCCCCAATTCAACCCTGATGCTCCTGTATGTATTTTACCTTGCATGACTTCTAAGGATTAAAAATTATGATAAATCACACTAAACCTCTAATGCACGACTCTTTTCAACGGCTCCCACCTGATGCAATGCAGCGCTAGTGGGTCCCGCTGCGGTAGTTTAATGGATTGATTGCCGGTATTGGTACCGGTATGGAAATATCAGCCGGTAAATACCCTGGATCGGCTGGTCCCTGACTAGGTAGAGTGCGAAAAGATGGGGTATGCTCCGCACCGAAGCCCGGCCGTCAATAACCTCATTGAAATGAGATAACTCTAAAAAGAAATTTGAGCCAGTGATATCATACTTAACTTTCGGTGATAATGATAAGCTTCTTAACCTTGAACATCAGGAAATACACTTGCTTAATTCTAGATAGTTAAGAACTCAGTAACTAATAGAGCTAAAACCCAAGAGTCTAAAAAGTGCTCCCTTTGAAGCGATTCCAATTATAAGACATAGCTTTGATGATAATGATGATGGTGATGATGATGTCGATAATGATGAGATTCAGAGTCAAAATATTGTGGAAAAAAGATTAAGAGATTCCAGTCTTTGAAATGTCAAAGCTCTAGCCTTACGCGTCAAAATATCAGTCCTTCCCCAAACAAGTAAGATGCTCGCTTAATCTTCGATTCCCCCGAAAACTCTATCATATCTAGCATAGATTGACAGGAACTACTTTGTAAATGTTACTTCAAATAGCCCTACCTGCAAAAGCTAAGCCCGTACGGGAATATGTTGCATGCGTTTCCACAGAATGGATACCTACGGAGGTCCAAAACATATTGCCACACCGCCTTAGATTCAGGGATAGGGTTGGGTGGCAGAATGATTTGGCTGATGGCAAAACAAAGGCGGTGTAAGAATATACACACCGTAATATTGCCGTCCGGAGTAGGGTTAGGCTGTTAATATTATATAGTTTAAATATAGATCAAAATTTTGACTTTTATATATATTTTAATTTATATTATATAAAAATCAAAATTATAAAATAGATTAAAATTATTTCAAAATTAATTAATTATATCATTATTTTGATCTTTTAATAATTTTATCTTTAATAATTAATAAATGAATTAAAAATTAAAACTTTCTAATTAATCAGTTACGATCACGTGCTTGATGTAATGTATAATCTAGTTCTGTTCTATGTAAAGGGCTCATCGCTAGTGCGAAGTAGTCGGGGGTATCATTGCCCGTCTACCGAGACAGCCAACAAAAACGGCAATGCTTATACGATATTAAAGTGGAATGTTAGGAATAGTCCCTCTCATTGGCTAACTACATCAAGGTTTTCGCCGACAAACTAGGTTATATAGGAAGGTGTTTTGTGTTATCTGATTGCATGTGTAAACTCTATGTAAAATCAAAATCTGTTATACTCTAAGGGGAGTTTATTAATTTCCTAAGTCATTGGTGAGGAACTCCATGGTCTTTGGTCCCTGTCCTCCTGCAACTTCAAGAAACTGTAGTAATCCAAATCTGTCTTGAATCTTTTCCCGATTCGGTTATTCATGCTTAGCCCGACAGTACTCATGGTTAAACCCGATAGTACATTCCCTTATCACATCTTCGATTGTAGAAGAAATGTAGCACCGAAACTCGGTGGATTGAGGTAGGCTATCACAAGTAGCTCCAATGGAATTAGAGCTTTACAACTTGAAGAAGAGAAATTTTCATCTGATATTCTGCCTTATAAAATAAGGCTACTTGATATTTTCTTAATTGAAAAACGCGCTGAATCCGCTGGGTTTTGACGATTAGATCAAGCACCAACAAAAATCTTAATTTTAAGCTTAGACCCTGAACCTACGTGAAGACAAGCTTGGCGTGGGGGAGCCGTTGACCCCGCTTAGCATCCCTATTAGGCCTCTTGGCGTTATGACTACCGGTATGGCGTGTGCTGCAAGGAGTGATTATAGAACGTAGGGATATGAAGTGGCGTGGCAGGAAAAAACATATGCAGGTGAGGAGGCTGAGGATAGGAAGCGGTGATTTCAGATTGAATTCTTATTAGACATAGAAAGCTAGCATACATGGATGTCCAATTCTATGAAGCCTTTAAGGATTTGACAACATCTAGACTTTCCAAACCAGGGCGACAATCCATACAAGATTTCAAGTCATTGAAGCTATGTATGTTCAAAGGAACCTTTCGGGCAGTTTCGAGTCAATACTTTCATCGGTGGATGACACACATCTCACGAGTCTTAAGTTTGGAATAGTTAAATGAGCCAAGACCTCTCAAATTATCTTTACTAGGATCTTAAAAGGCCGGTGTAGTCCTTTGCTCTCTCTTTGACTCATCAATGTCTCACGGCATCGAATTTTATATTACCATCAGTGCTAACAGCGAGCTGCAGAAAACAAAACAATCACTATTGCACATGCAAATGCAAATGCAAATCACGTCAACCTCTGGAATCCACACAATCTTAAAAGAGTCTTTCCAATCTCCTTCCTATCTGATCTATTCTCCATCAAGGTGTCATTGCAGTAGACTAAATTCCAGCTCAAACACAACAATTCCCATTTGACATGGACAATTCATCATGAGCTCAGGAACCACAAGTGTGCCAGCAGTAACGAGTATGGTACTGAGATTCAGGTAACTCTACCCATCAAAGCAATCAAATACATTCCTATCTCCGTCCACAAGATAGAAACCCCCTCAAAACATTCCAGCTCTCTCGCATCCAATAAACTGGACTGGAGATCTGTCCCAGAATCTTCTGGCTAAGAAACCCACGGAACTCCGTGTCAAAGACCTATACCGCTTCTCACATGATCAACAAATTAAATGAGATCAGGTTAGAATCGTGGATAGGAGCAAAGTGATTTTATTTTAATCTTCCACGATCTGGAAGTATTGTAAGATTACGACAAGTGACAATACATATGATGGATACCTACACAATACATTCTCACAACTTCAACTTCTTATTGAGAACTCCAAGTAATGTAGACTGCTTACTTATATTAAGTATCGGGAGCATGAAGTTCGTGATTAACCATCATCTATCATCCATCAAGCATCGAAAAGACCCATGAACTCCAAGTCTCAGGCTGTCTTCTCTCATCACACCTCTTCTGTAACTTTGAACACTTATCAGTAGTAAGTTTCAATACAGATAAAGAAGTTCATAATGGAATGTACAAGGACACCCTCAAGGTATTCGATCCATTAACACACACCAGAAATTACTACGATACTATTGCCAACAAGTTTCACAATGATTTCCCTTCGAGGAACATGATCTAGATCTTACTTCCATTGAACATACAAGAAGACCTCATCAAGCTCCTACTAGAGTCTAGAAGTGATAGAACGAATTTACTCACAAGCTTATTCGTCTCATTGACCTAGGGTAGAAAATGTCGAGGTGGTTATTCATGCTTCTTTCTTTGCTTATATCATAATTGTGATATATCTTCAAACAACTTGCTTGTCATTCTACACAGCGCAAAATAAATCTCACTCCAATTACAACCTCGCACGTCTCTGCATATCATAAACAATATCCCTTTAAAACCTATATACAAATCTACCCACTAAAGCCTCACTTCCAACCCTCACTTCCAACCCTCACTTCCAACCCTCACTTCCAACCTCTCACCATCTACTCAACTCCTAAAGCTAAAATCCTACCTACATCCCAAAACACCCCTCCATCACCATAAAATAACATAACCCATCCCAATCATCAATAACGAAAATATCAACCATACAAACACACATAAGCATAAATAAGCATAAGAATAAACACCATCCATTCCAGCATCAAACTTCAAATCTCTCCAGATTTCCAAAAATGGCTTCTCCCAGTAAGATTTTTGCTGGAAAGATCATTACGATTATTGCTACCTATATTTCTGAGAAAGGTATCCGATTGCAGGAATGCGAAGGGCTCGTTGTGAATGACAGAGCGAGTTAGATGGCTATTGAGTCTGTGATTACTAGGAGTACAGGGTAAAGTAGGAGGGGATCTATGAATATTAATATCAGATTCTATGGGGAGGGGGGATTTCCAGCTCTGATTGAATGGTTACTGTTGGTACGAGAAGGATACGGAAGACGTAGCACCCACGGATTACGTAGGTCCTGTATGTCTAATTGTATTCTGTCTAAAGAGCTAGCTACATATTGAAAGTAGTAAGTCTTATATAGACTTACTAAAAGAGCTAGTCTCTTTCGCGTTCGCTTAGTTCTTTATTACAGTAGTAATTGAATTGAAGTCATTCACTTCGTTCACACAGTTACCTTCGGCTGGGTCCCCGACTCTTGTGCTCTTTCAAGTTGAATTGATAGATTCTATATAATATCAAGAATTTCCGTAATTATTAGATTTATAATATAAAGGGAGAAGAAATAAAATATGAAATTAGGAGCTAAATCTGCTATATAATGACTTTTAAAATTCATTTAAATCTATTTCCCATGAGTGCAGGATTATTTTAAACATCAATTTTCTACACTCTGTCATTTTATTGACTTGGTCACGAGAAACAAGAAACTGTTTGTGTGTATAGTTATACATAAACTTTCCACTCCGTCAAAGACTCAAAGTATATCCAAGCAGAAGATAAAAAAAATATATGAAATTGCCGTGCTAGTATCTTTTCGTTTTCCATTAAAATCTCACAAGCCTACAGAGTAAGTGATACCAGATAGAAAAAAATGAGTAAATATAAGAGCGGTAATTGTCCTTATCAACTATACAGTATATGAGTAACAGAAGTTAACGGACAAAAATATGAATGTTTATAAATATATGTATTATACATTTCATCCATTTCTAGATACCAGATACCAGAGATTATCGATCGAAACAAGTTGACAGAAAAAGAAAGAAAGAAAAAAAACAAGAAAGAAAATGTATTTGAAATATTTACTGAAATTTCTCTCGATAGGAATGATTTGATACCAGAGTATCGCAGTGCGAGATGGGAGTCCGGAGACTCAATACGGAATGAGTGGGTCGCGCACACCTTCCTCACTACCTATCAATCAATATAGATAAACCCACGAAGTCGAGAACCTTCTTGAAGAGATCAAGGTCTCTCGGCATGTCGAAGTGATGCTTAAACTTCAGGAATATCTAGATTGGAAAACAGTGACATAATCGTTGGTTTTATGAAAGGGCAAGGAGTAGACTAGTGGCACCACAAGACCGTAAGATTTATTGGCAACATTTAGCACCTGTTATGTTTTAACAGCATGCATGAGAAGAAAATGAAGCTTACAAAATAATTAGTGCAATCGCCACTATATAAGCACGCCATCCTCAATACTTTCCTCGCAGCATAGATCATCAGCCGAAAAACTTTCCTTATGGCATACAAGATAAGTCCGATAAAATCACATCTGATTTTGCGGCCAAAACCAATATCTCTTATTCAGTCCATACGAAACTACCCGATGATATGCTGGTATCCCGTGATTACTACTCACAGTCTCCGTACATCTGTGTTGAAGAAATTACATATTTGAGCGATGTTTAGCGAGTATATATGCTCGCTTTAGCCTTTTCCAACCTTAATGGGAACATATTGCTATGTTTACTAAATAATATTGAATGAATAAGCTGTAATATGTGCATCTGCATCAGGAATTCGGGATGATGGTTTTCGAATTGGGCGGGTTTAATGCAAAATGGTTTGACAGAGCTATCATCGAGAATTGCATCGAATCATAATCTTGATGCCTTGATTAAGGTATGTAGAAGAGTTGTATATGGGGACACTTTTCCCTTGATACTAGAACAAAGCCACTCAAAGAAAAGACACCGACAAACAAAAGTTGTATGATAAGCAAAATGATGCTGTCTAAGTCATGACTCATTTGCCCTCGCTCCATTGAACCTCGCCACCACAATCCAACATTCATCAAGTCCTCTAACCTGGAATATTCTTCATGCCATAGAGGTCCCAGTCTTCGATCCACCCCATATCTACACATTTCCATCTACATCATACACACTCCTGCATGCCCATCAAGTGCAATTCTCATTAACGCACCCGTTAATATTGAAATATCATATGCACTAGCAGACTGGATATCTGAAATGGTCGACAACAAAACTCTCACCTGCATCTATATTACTCACGGATGCGGCGACCATTTCTTTGGCATTCCAGTCCTCCAGCGACGTTCCTCTGGTGTAATGGCTGTAGCTACCGAACAAACTATCGCACAAGTAGCCTAAAAATTGAATTATGCTTAATTTGTCAAGCTCTGATCTTCCTCGTTTCCGATCAGATACCTACGCAGAATGAAAGAATTCAACGTTGCCGTTTGATGGAAAATTCTATCTCGAGGATCATATGCTTCAGGCTGTTGAAGTCGGACAATAGGACATATATAAAACTACTGTTTTATACGTTCCTTTACTAGAACTTGTGGTGACTGGAGATGCTGTATATGGAGAATATTTCCAACATCTCGTTGAGACAAACATTTCCGAGTTGAGAGCGGAATGGATATGAATCATTGATAAGATTGATAATTTACAACCAAAGATTGTTGTGCCTAGTCACAAGCAGATTTGAGATGGGTATGGAACGGGTCATTTTGAAAAGACGAGACAGTGTATCAAAGACTGAGCGAATTTAATCGAAGTCGCAACGAATGCTAGGATTTTGAGAAAAAGATAACCACTTTATACCCGCAGAGAATCGGGAATTGAATCCTGGAGCTTATTATTGATGAGGTACTCCCAAATCAAACCAGTATGAAAGGTAAAACCTATTCCAGCACCTTTGATGTAGGAGATGGAAGATAGTTGTGATCTGTAGTAAAGGTTACCAAGAAAAACGGGAAATATTCCGTAGCAGTCAAATCATTCAATAATGACCTTAGCTAACCAGAGAAGCAATCCGCATCGGTATATATGTCGTTAAATGAAGCAGACCTCTGTTTTCAAGAAGTAATAGTCACAACAAAAATCCTGTGTTGAAAAACAATCATCCACGCCTCATTACCGTGCACC